ACTTGTCAGATGCTGTGCTGCTCCTGCCAAGTCGATTTCTGGGCAACATTACAAATCGGAGTCATTAGCGCCAGAGTGTAAATAAGTTTACAGGAGTCAGTTGGTGTCTTTGTATCTTAGTTTGGGACTGAACTGCTCTCTCTATTGTTAGGGCCTCTGGGCAGGTGTAGGAGGAATTTGGCATTTGGGGAAGGTTCTTTGCCTCTAAACTAAGACTAAAGCTGTGACTAGGAACTCAGGCAATAGTCCCAGATAACGAATAAGAGTTTTTAAAAATGCATTTAGCCCCTTTTGCGCTTTATCAGAACATCGGATGCTTTTAGACATGCCGGATGAGCTGCAACGTAATTCTGAGTTGTTCCCCACGTTTTTAGAAAATGAATCTCTCTGGTATTTGAAAGAGCTTGCGGGAGACAGGCAAGGGAGGTTTCGACAGGGCCTGCAGGAAGGACCCTGGGTTTGTGGAGGTGATTTGCTCTTTGGGGGGTCTTGGGAGGTGTGGGAGTCCTGGAGTTATTCCCCTGGTGCCGAAGCAGCTGTGGCCAAGGCGGTGTGGACAGAAGCTCTAAGTGTCTCTTGAGTTAAGAGAGCTGTTTGCTAATGGATTGTCTGGATGGGGCTGCTTCCGGCCTGAAGTCTGTGATCTCTGTGATACAATAAGAAATAGATATTTGGTATTTGGCTCAGGTTCCTGCCACAGAGCTTCTGGAACCCTAGGAATTTCCTGAGTAATGGGAGTGTCTTTTGTTATTCATAACAAGCCTCTTTTTTTTTTTTTTTTAATTTTCAGCATAACAGTATTCCTTGTTTTTGCACCACACCCAGTGCTCCATGCAATCCGTGCCCTCTCTAATACCCACCACCTGGTTCCCCCAACCTTCCACCCCACCGCCCCTTCAAAACCCTCAGGTTGTTTTTCAGAGTCCATAGTCTCTCATGGTTCACCTCCCCTTCCAATTTCCCCCAATTCCCTTCTCCTCTCCATCTCCCCATGTCCTCCATGCTATTTGTTATGCTCCACAAATAAGTGAAACCGTATGATAATTGACTCTCTCTGCTTGACTTACTTCACTCAGCATAATCTCTTCCAGTCCCGCCCATGTTGCTACAAAAGTTGGGGATTCATCCTTTCTGATGGAGGCATCATACTCCATAGTGTATATGGACCACATCTTCCTTATCCATTCATCCGTTGAAGGGCATCTTGGTTCTTTCCACAGTTTGGCGACCGTGGCCCTTGCTGCTATAAACATTGGGGTACAGATGGCCCTTCTTTTTACTCCATCTGTATCTTTGGGGTAAATACCTCTTTTAACCGCACCTGAGTTTATGCTAATATGGCGACTCTGTGGGCCCCTGGATAGCTTCGGGATGGGGCTGGTTGCCAGAGGAACCAACCACGTGGTTAGAGATTTGGCCCTTTTAGCCCCACCCAGACCTCTGGGAGCCGAGAGGGGCTGAGGATGGAATTAATCTCCAACGGCCAGTGATTAACCAGCCCTTCCCCTGTAATGAAACCTCCATCAAAAACTCCCGAGTGATGGGGTTCTGAGGACTTGTGGGTTAGCGAACAGCTGAGGTGCTGGAGCGTGGGGACCCCTGAAGGCAAGGAAACCCCACACACCTCAGACCAAACCTTCCCCCCCCCCCCGCCGCCCCAACTCTGCATCTCTTCCCCTTGGCCTGTCCCAAATTGTATCCTTTAAAATAAACTCGTCATAGTCGTGTTTTTCCAAGTTTTGGGGGCTGTTCTAACAAATTGTTGAACCCGAAGAGGGGATCTTGGGGGCCCCCAATTTATAGCCAGTTGGTCAGAAGTACAGGGAGAAGCAGCCTGGGTCTTGTGACCAGCGCCTGAAGCTAGAACAGTCTCGTGGACAGAGCCCTGGACCTGTGGGGTCTGCCCAAACTCCAGGTAGGTAGTGTCAGCTTGGAATTGAATTAAAGAACACCCAGTTGGTGTCCGAACTGGTTATCTGTGTGGAAGAAAGCCACAATGTTGGTGTCAGGAGCATTGTAGACAAAAAAATCTCTCATCCCTCACCCAAAGGACAAGTTTTATCTCGAGACACAAGGATGTTGACCATGGTGTGCCTCGTTGTGTGCCTTTCAGTGGTTACTAATAACCTCAGACCTGGGAGGAGGGGAGCAAAATGCCAAGAGCCATCCTTCCCACGTCCAGGAAAGTAGCATCCTGATGGTAGCCATGACCTTCCAAGGAAGCTTGGATTAACTTCCCGAAGCCACGGTGGGGAAGGCCACTGGGACCGGCAGCCCCAGCAGCCAGCTTCCTGGGGCACATTACCTGGGTGGTGACTCAGGCTTTTTGGAAAACCAGCTTGTGTCATCAGCAGCTGGGCCCAGCTCGCCCCGTGACCTGGGAACTTGACATAAGCAGAGCTTATGACTCCGAGGGTCACGCCTGAGGGAGGAGGCCTCCCGGGAGCGTGGGGACACACGGCCGCCTCCCCAGAGGCCGGCAAGCCTCGAGGAGCCCGTTTCTGCCTGTTGAGGCCCATCAGGCCAGGATGCTGCTTTGGTCTGCAGACCTTGTCTTCGTCCTGGCCGGCCTCAGAGAGGGCTGGTTTCCACCGTCGGTGCAGGGCCCCAGCCAGAGCCTGGGTGAGGCGGCTCAGGACCTGTTGCTGGTGTTGCTCCCTGCCCTCTTCCACATGTGTGGGACTCCCCGAACTCTGAAGTGTGCATACGGACCAGGGGGCTGCTTATGAGGACTTGGGGGGTGTGGCAGCCAGCCACCCAGGCTCCCCCAGATCTTGCCTTTGTAAGAGTAGCCTGCAAATGGAATCAGCAAGTTTGTACCCTTTCAGGCTGGCTGTTTTCACTCTGCAGAAAGCATTTCTTGCATGGATCCTCAGCTCAGCCCTTTTCTAGGCCAAGTACCCATCACTTTTTATTCCTGTCTCTGTATGGACCTCTCCTGCCGTGTCCAGATAGCTGGATGTTTTTCTTTCTCCTTGGCTACAGCTCAGCTCCTCCAGAGCTGGACGATGCCTTGAGTGCCTCTGTGTCCCCAACCTGCACATAGTTAGCACTTGACAGAGTGTGGAACTAGGGCAACTGTGCATTGACAGCGAGGACCCTCTACTCTCTCTACCTCTCTGGGAGGGGCGGGGGCGGGCACTCTGTAGAAGCCCTGCAGATGTCTCTGTAAGGCCCTGGCTGGTCCCCGCTTAGGCTCTGTGCTCAGCAGGTGACCTGGAGACACGCCCAGGAATGGGCAAGCTGCTTCTCGAAATGGGCAAGCTGCTTCTCGAATGGGCAAGCTGCTTCTCGAAAACCACTCTCACCCTCAGTTTGGTGTCTGTGCCGGGCAGGGTGCTTTCCCTTCCGAGGGGGGCTTTGGAGGGCTCTGGGTGGATCCCGTGCATCTCTCGGGCCTCCGAGTCAGGATTTCCTGGGAGTGTGGTGTCGGTGTGTGCCTGTCTCATTCCCCCTCCACCAGAGAAGGCTTCTCTTTGGGCCTTGTTTGCACTGAATCACGGCTGAGCAGCTTTGTTAGTTAAAAATAGGACTTGGCATATCCGCCCAGTGACAGGCCCTTCTTGCTTCAGGCACACACTGGAATGCTTATATAAATATTTGGAGGAACTTGAAACCCGGGACCATTTCTATCCCAGAGTCTTCTCTCCTGGACTCCTAAAGCAGGAAGGATAATATGGCAGCGAGAAAGTGAGGGCCTGCTTGTGTTAGAAGCACTCAGGGTGGCGTCACATTATTTGGGAGACACTGGAGGGGGCCGTTCTGAAGCCAGTAGAAGTGGTTGGTCATTTGCAGTAGTGACAGCGGCTCAGGTAGAAATCTACAGGGTTTAAATCAGACTGTCCAGGGTTCAAACCACAATTCTACTTCCTGGCCCATGGCCTTAGACAAGTCACGGGACTTCTCGAACCCCAGGTTCTCCTTAGCACATTATCTACTGCACGAGGGTGATTGTGAGAGTAAAATGATCACCTGTGGCAAGAACCTAACAGGGCCCAGCACCCAGCACACAGTAGGCCCTCGTGTCGTGGTGGCTGCCCCCTGAGGCCCCCTTAGCCTAGCTAGCGGCTGTCACCGGCAAGCATTGCACAACCTTGCACTGGCCATCCAAGGCAAGAACTGGAGGTTCTAAAGCTGGGACACAGGAGTGTCCGAGTGCGTCTCCAGACTTCTCCCCAGTGCCACTCGTGTCTCGTCACCTCCATTGGTCTGCAGCCACTACTGTGTCCTTAGATCACTTTAGCAGCTGCCCGAGCAGGGTGGGTAACTCGGGACTCACCAGCTGCAAGAGGACTGTAACCAAGCTTAAAATAGAGCCATGTCCCTTGCTGGACCGAGGGCTGCGCCAGTCCCCAGTGCAAGCCGGGCGGTGTCTACACAGCCAGGCTGAGCTGGACTCCGGGCATCTGCTTCCCCCACCAGGCAAGGCTGGCTTTCCTTGATCCCAAAGCCCCAAGGGCCCTCAGCCTCCTCCCTCCCCCACCACCCGGCCAGAGGTTACTGACCGTTCCTCAGAGCAAACAAGCTGGGGGAGGACATGGGGCCGGGCGTGGGGGAGACAGGGATCTGGTGGTGGCCGGCATGGTGAGCTCAGTGGCCCTCTGCGTGTGGGTTGGGCTGGTTCTGGCCTTGGTGTGTGTGTGGTAGTGGGGTGGGAGGGAGCCCCCGGGAGGCATTTCTAAAGGTAGAAGGAGAGTGAGGCCATCCTGCCTGAGAGGGTGGAAGAGGAGAGAAGCTCAGAAGCAATGAGTCACGCTGTTTGGTTGAACTTGCTGCTTTTTAAGCCCCAGCCCAGGTCATTGTGTCTGAATAGAAGCGTGTCAGAAGCCAGCCAAAGAATGCCCGCTGAGCAAGGCCCCCACGGAAAGGTCAAGCCCTGCCTATTGAGGGAGGACGCCCAGATGGGGCGACTTTTTGCCCAGAGCGGCACTCCCCTTCCTGCTGTTGTCACGTTGTGTCTGTGACTGCCTCTTCCACGGTCTCCCTCTCCCCTCGTGCAGGTGCCACCATGGAGTCTGACCACTGCTGACCGGACCCAGGCGGGAGGCGCATAGGGGAGAAGGGTGACCTGCACCCATCGCCATGGCTTCCCCCATGGCAGAGAGCCAGCTCCAGAGAATCATCCGCGATTTGCAAGGTGCGGCGGTTTGGGGGACAGGGAGGCACACGGGGCTCGGGTGTGGGGGAGCTGGGGCTGTGCTCCTCCCGTCCTTCTCTCATCCTTGTCACACGGAAGTAATGGGAGTCCCCGGGACACAGCGCGTGGAAGCATTTGGGGCTCGGGTGTCCATCCCGGGTCAGGCTGGGAGAGCTGGGCCAGTCCTCCTCTCAGGGCGCTGCGAAGCCAGTTTGTAATAAACAAGATCCAATGCCCTTTTTGGGGTCTGGGTCTGCTCTCAGTGTTTGTGCGTATGTGTGTTTTCAAGCCACCTGTTAAATCTACAGCTGAATCCTGAGCCCTCGGGCCGTAATGGAGTTGGCTCATCTGGGGAGGCGTGTTCTCCTTCCTTTGAGCAGAATGACCAGCACCCGTCTTTCTTGTTTTGCTGTCCTCCCTGGTCCTGGCAGGCGGACAGCCTGTGTCCTATGACGCACTGTGATTCTGGGCCTGCTGCCTCCCAGACTTCTCTGAGCTCAGCAAACCCACCGAGACTCGGAACTCTCATCTCGCTGGAGGAGGGCAGGGCAGGGGAGGCGCACGGGACGCCGAGGAAACTCAGGAGGAGAGTCCAGGGTTCAAGGTCACCCTTCTAGGTGATGTCCCGGGGGTCAGAATTCTGGCAAGTTTCCAGCCTACACCACAGCTCACCCGGGCGGGTCGGTAGGCCTCTGTGGAGCTCTAGCACATTGGCTACCACACGGTGGGAAGGTGACCGCCTCCTGTGTGTCCCAGCAGTGACAGCGTACTCTCCTGACAGCCTGAAGGTCCAGGTTCCTACCTGCTCAGGTGCAGTCTGTCACAGCCAGAGCCACTGGACGCTTCTCCTTCTACAGGTCAGAAGGCGCCACGATGAAAATCACTCCCAGGCTCAGCTCCCCATTTATATAGCATCTGGGGCCTTGACCTGCTGATTATCACATGGCATTTCCCAGGTTCCAGGCCCTGTCTTGCACATGCCTTATGGATAACGACTCATGGGGTCCTCACATTTGGTCTGTGAGGTAGGAACCATTACCCCAGTTCTGCAGAGGCAGAAACAGGCACAGAGAGGTTAAGTGACTTGCCTAAGGTCACACACCCAGTCGGGCAGAGCTTGGGTTTATACAGATACCAGGTGCCAGAGTCTACACTCTTAGACCACACCAGCCTACTTCCAGCTGGGTTTTTTTCTTAAGTCTACACGCACGCACGCACGCACACACACGCCGAGAAGGTGAAATGACAGTCTGCCGGTCTGAGTTCACCTTTGGCCTTGAGAAATCTCTCCACAGAGTAAGCCCTCTCTCCTGCCTGTCAGTCTCTGGTTCTCCAGGATGACTTTGGGACCCAGAGAGCTTTATTGGGAGGGAATAGAGAGGAAGAGAGGACCCCCTGCTCGCACTCCTGATCCAGGAAGGAAGACATTGTTCAGGTACCCTTTTCTACCCCACGTCCTGGCTGGTCTGGTCGTCACCAACATCCCAAAGCCATCTCAATGTCCAGTACCCAGGCCACTGAGTGCTTTGACACACCACTTTCTCGGGACCCTTCCCTTGCATCTATTGGTAACTGTCTTCGTGGGCACACCAGAAATCTCTGGCACGGACCAAGGAGTGGCGCATCCCTAACTGAGGTGTCCTTGGGCAGTGCTTAGCCTTCGGGTCTCTGCAGAGCAGCCCGCTCCTCTTGGTGACAGCAGTGATGACGACCTTGGGGTCAGCTCCTGGCTCCGCCTTTTAACCCTGGAAGATGTTGGACAAGTCCCATCACCTCTCCAAGGTCCTATTGCTTCCTTCACATGCTAGATCAGCTTGGTAACACCCGCTTCTCAAGACTGTTGACAGACACAAGTGTATAATTCACAGAAAACTCAGATTCTTCACAAGTGATGCATTTGGATTGGCAGAGATTAGAGCTGAAAACTTGATATTTCATACTCAAGGCTCCTTTCAAAATTTCAAGAATTCCCAGCTCAGGTTATAAGGGTTAACCCTTATAGGGGAGGAAGGCTGTGCATTGTCCCTGGTCCCTGACCACCCCCCTCCCCCCCCGGCTCTCGATGTCAGCTGCAGCAAACACTTCTAGAGGGTGCCACTGGACAGCAGTCTCTTGGTATAAGAATCCGTCCCAAGAGCCTGTCTTCACCATTTGCTGACCTCTGCCGGAGAGGTCAGTGTCGATTAAATTTTAGCAGTTCAGGTTCAGTGTCAGTGCTGGGCAGGTCTGCTTTCCAGCCATGGTTCTAGAGCGCAGGGACGGGGGAGCTCCTCTCCTTACGAGCCGTCAGAGAGCAAGATGGTTTTGGGCAGTGTGCCCCAGCCATCTCAACCGGGGGCGCTCTTCCCAGTGTCTACACCAAACCTAGCTTCTCACTGTCCCTCCATGCCACAGCAGAGGCTGCGAGTGACAGTCAAAGTGGTTTTCCCTCTATTCTGCACAGGGAGGTCGGTTGTCTTAGAAGTGGAGAGGCGGGCTCCGGAGTCAGAAAGCCCTGGAGGAACCAAGCTTCTCATTTCAGCTCTGCCTTTTGCATCCCGTGGTCTTTGGCCAAGTGCCCTGACCTCTCCCGGAATTCCTTATCTGCCAAACAGGATGATGTTATCAGCCTTCTCCAGTCTCCGGTTGTACTTTCTTCCCCACATTTTAACAGCTCTGAAACTGGGATTATCTTAAAACCAGCTGTGTATTGGGTTTGTAGAAATACAACCATGCCCACCCTGCCAGTGCTGTATTAAAGGAGAAAGACCTGCAGAAGCCTGGCCCCTGATGGCCACTCAGCTCACGGAAACAGGTGTCATTGTTGTCATTCTTGGAATTGTTCTCGTTCCTCTTATTTGTACCTTCTGGTCTTCTTGAAGCCAGGACGTAGCCTGTACTGAGCAGGAGAGTTAAAGTGAAGAACAATAAGCCACATGGCCAGAAGGAAGGTAAAGCTCTCTGGACGTCAGTGTGAGAGGCCTGCTGAGTGGTTCGTGCACATGGCGAACCTTCCTTGACCAAAGGCTGCATGTAGATTACACGGCCTGCACGGTGGTCCTGTAGGGAGGACTGAGAGATGGGCTGGATCAGGGGGCCGTGGGAGAACACCTGTGAGCTCTCAGCACACCCGAGCACCGTCAGGCTCAGCCTTCCCTCCTTCTGGGTTCACATCCCACTTTCTGCTTCCCAGGTGCTCTGCCGTCACTGACCGCTTGCTCCCCGTGCGTCCCTGGTGGGTTATTCTGCTTCTCTCTCTAAAGCTAGTTACGTGTTCCGGTTTGTTGTCTTAAAGATGCGGTGATGGAGCTAAGCAAAGAGTTTAAGGAAGCAGGGGAGCCCATTACGGACGACAGCACCAGCCTGCACAAGTTTTCTTATAAACTTGAGTATCTCCTGCAAGTAAGTGACTCCTGTACCATGTTGATTTCTGCTCTGTTCTCTCGGTTCCCTCTCGAGTGACTCATGAGCATCAGGATGTGGTTCAGACAGCTCCGGGAAGCCAGGAAGCCCTCCTGGTTAGACTGAAAGTCGGAGCAGCCCCAGGTCGCTTGGAGCTCGAGCCTCCCGAGTGCGATCCTCTGGAGAATCGGAATGTTGCCCCTTAGCATGGCTGTGGGCATCAAGAATATTCTTTACAGATTTAGACCATCTTAAGGCAGGTCACAAGGTAACGGCAGAGATCGTAACTTTGGGGCAGTCGCCTCCCCCTTTGAGGGTCTGGTGAAAGCTGTGGGATCTCTCCCGAAACAGACATGCCTCTGTGTGTGTGTGTGTGTGTGTGTGTGTGTGTACACACCCCGTTGCCCACTCTCCAGGAGTGTGTGGACCCTCTGAAAATTATCCAGAAGCTCCCATTTTAGAGCCTTGCTGCCCAGATTGCTGGGGTCCACAGACCAGCAGCATCAGCAACCCCCGGGCACAGGTGAGAAATCTTTTCTCAGTGCCCACCCTGACCCGCTGAATCAGAATCTCTGAGGTTAACCCAGGAAGTTTTGTCTGAACACACTCGCCCTGTAATGCTGATGTGTGCTTGCTTGAAGATGCACGGATCTGGAGAGCTCTGCAGATGCGGAAAAATACAGGCAATCACAGGAGGCAGGAAGGAAATGGAATGAAACATTAACAGAAGTTACCTTAGGAAGGGGCTGTTCGCATTATAATTTTTTTTCTTTTCTAGTCTTGTCAGGGTTTTCCAACATGTATGTATCTTAACTTCCATAACCAGAAACAAACACTGTAAGATGTTATGCTGTAGAAAGACACACCTTTATCCTTTTGAACACCGGACATGTGCATCCCAGCACTCTCCAGCCCAGCTAGAGAATGAGCGCCTGCTGGAGGCGAAGCCCCGACGTGTCGAGGGACTCCCCCTTCCCTTTCCAGCTGCTTCTGTCTTACACTGGGACATGATTTATGAACCTTTTCAGTTTTCAGTCGGCCCGTTTTGGTTTTGGATTTGAAACAACTCATAGCTGACATTAATTGGGATTTATTACATATTTGGGTATATTACAGTGTTGAGACTTTAAGTAGCCAGGGTAAGATGTCTCAAACTCATTTCCCTGAGTTGAGATAAAGTTGACAGTCTTCATGTTGTCCTTCAAGACTTTTCTCTCAAATGTCTTCATCCCGTGTGGACAACGCCTCTGGTGGTCTTCTACCCATTTCTGTGCACTGAGGTCCTTTCAAGAGATGGTCTCTCCTGGGGGGCTTTTACTCTGAATCCCACTAGCTGTGTGACCCTGGGCCAGCTGCTTAACCTTTCCCAGCCTCGGTCTCCTCATCTGTAAATTGGGGTTTGAAACACCCACCCTTATCTGCCAGCCAATAAAAATGGTGCCAGTAAAGGGCCCCGTCCAGGACAGGGTGACTAAGAAGCTGTTGCTGTTACTGATATTTAAATGGTGGGATGATCAGCTGCAGGGGTGGTCCTCCTCTCTCTGTCCCCGGGTCTCCACAGTTTGATCAGAAGGAGAAGGCCACCCTTCTGGGCAACAGGAAGGACTACTGGGATTACTTCTGCGCCTGCCTGGCCAAGGTGAAAGGAGCCAATGACGGGATCCGATTCGTCAAGTCGATTCCGGAGGTAAGCAGAGGGGCCAAGTTCCTCGCATCTTCCTCTCTCTGCCTTAAGCATCTCTTGCCCAACCCGTGCTGCAGCCGGCTCCTTGAGGAGGAGGGTGGGGAGCAGACGGCTGGCAAGGAAGTAAGGAAATCCGGGCGCACTCAGTGTCCAGTGTTCGCTCGGGGGAGTGAGCACTCGCCAAGCAAGGGAGGGCTCAGTCCTGACTGTGCATCAGGCCACGAGCACGCGCCGTCTCAGAGCAGACTTGCTCCCACGGAGGCCGTTCGTGGGGCCCACCGGGGGCCTATAGCACGGGACGCCTCTGCCTTTTCAAGAGAACTCGTTCCTTAGATAAAGTGCTTAGAGTTTACTGGGTGCTTTCCCTATAATTTGTGCAGGAAACTTGTGTTTATAATGAAGAGAGTGATGTGTGCCATCAAGGGACTGGTTACGCTAAGCAGCTCCCCACATCGAGCTCTGAGCCCCTTGAGCAGACAGCCAGTGCTTTGCTGTTTCAGAAAACTCCAGAACAACACATTCTCCATGCTCTCCTTTCTCTCTCTCTCTTTCTCCTTTCTCCCTCCCTCCCTTTCTCCCCACTTCCTTCCCTCTCTTGCCCTCTCTCCTCTTTCTCTCTCTCCTCTTCCCTGTCTCCCTCCCCTCCCCCACCCCTTCAGCCTCGTCGCTCTGGGAGGGAAAAACTCTGCACCCTCAGGAGTGAGAAAACGCCTAGATTTGGGGCAGGAGGCCTAAAGCGTTTCTACATTTCATCTTTCTCTTCAGCATCTTGTCAGTATGTTTGGAGTCACTTTAAAGCCCGCAGCCGTGCTCCTTGGCCGGTCTCCCACAAAGGGCGCCGAGTCGGGTGCTCCAAGATCCCTTCTCGCTCCCTGCCAGCTGGAGTCAGCCGGGTTTCTTCTTATAGAGCGTGACGGCCTTAAGTACGCTGACAGTGAGGGCCGAGCATTTCCCACCCTCTGGCGTCTGAGAAAAGGAGGAAAGACCTTGGCTGTGAGGAGTTAGTTCCTTGGATTTCTTTAATGTCCATGCAGCACCACGGTCTCGTGAGAACTTGCCTGGTGGGACCATGGGGTCCCTGACGTAGAGTGTTTTCATGCATCACACACATCTCCTCTCTGAAAGTCTGGAAGAAGTTCTTAATGTCACTGTCCTGTCTTCCACTCTTCAGAGCAACAAAGGCCTTTGGCTTTATGGCTTCAGACAACTGAAGTCTGGAGTGAGTTTAGCTTAGTCCTCACGGCCCAGAGTTACAAAATGCGTAAATCTCCTTTTTGCATAATGCACAGACCTTTAGACAATCTGAGGCCAGGGAAACTGACTTCTCAGAGCAAAAAGCACTCGCTGCTTGCCCAAACGGCCCTGGTTCCTGGTGGCTGCGTGGGCTCTGCTTCCCACAGGCCCCAGTTGTCTCGTCCCCGTGGAAGGCTCTGCTCTCGGGGGCTCTCTTGAGTGGAATGACTTGGAAGGGCACTTGGGCGCCAGGGCTTCTGGGTACTCGGGCCAACTGTAATAACCAAGTGTTGTCCGGGCCACCAAGCCAAAAGGTAAAAGTGAATGGATAAGAAGCCTTTCTGGGCCCCTCAGGCCCTCATGGGGTGGGAGGCAGCCTTTTGGGCTAAAAAGCCTAAGGCTATAATCAGCTACTTCTGGAGGTTCAGAAAAAGCCCAGCCTGAGCTGTGCGACTTTCCTCCAGATGGACCAGGGTCTGAACCACGGTGCGGCTTGGTGTCCGGCTCTTGGCGCAGTAATCTGACCGAGAGCAGAATCCGCTCTCGTACGCCCTGCAGACTTCCTGCCCTTCGAGGCTGTTGGGTAGCTTCTGGGTATCATGCAGATGAGTTTGGGCCAGATGCTAAAGATTTAATGAATTAGGTCATGAACCTGGAGCCGTGATGTCAGAACAGCAAAACTAAAAAGCTGGGCAGTATTTTCACCTGCAGTACAAAGGAGCTATTGATCCCCTCCCCCCAAGGATGTTTCAAGATACCTCTTAGAATAAACAACTCCATTTATATGTACACATGTCAGATCAGTTTGCCTAATAGGGCTGATTAAAAACACGGCCCAAATTGTTTGGCACTGAAAGTCTTCATGTTCTAAATGCTGTTACAGTGGCCGTTTTGCTGTTAAGGACAAGCCCATCCCTTGGGAGCTCATGGACATGGGCTGTCGTGTGAGGGTCTTACTGAATTCTGCAGGGCCTGTGTGTGGATGTGTCTGTCTGACCAACACACTTGGCCCCACAGCGCCTTGCCCAGCTGTTCTGCGCTGCCCTGAGTTTGCTGGACATCACCACTGAACACTCCATTCGCCCTTGATCATCAGTGGAAAAAGTATTTGGATGTGGGGCTGTCCTCACGATTCTCCCAAAAACGTGTGTCCTGACCAGGTCTCTGCAGACAGGCCATGATGGTGTTTCTAAGGCCTGTGTGTCAGGCTGCCACCAACCCACCCACTTCCACTCCTAGGTATCCTGACCATGCCCCAGACTTAAAGAGCACACGTGGAGACCCAGCTTACAGCCTCTCTCTTAACTCATGACATTTCACACCTTTTTATTTTGTTAAAGCGACTTCATACTGCGGTATCATTTCCTTGAGTCAGCAGTAAGGAGGCCTACAGCTCTGAGCTAGAAGGTGCTATGGCCCGGGATGTTTACATCTTCATTAGTATGTCGGTGCTTGGGTCTGTACCACACATTTCCTGTCTCAGTGCAGTGCCATGATTGGTTTCTCGATAGTGTGGGGTATTAGGACCATCGGTTCCCCGTCCCCCGCCACCAAGTTAAACATTTCTAACCTCTGAAGAGGCAAGGAGGATATATGGGTCTTTACTTATCCGACCCAGACTCCGAGCCTGACAGAACTGGGAGGTTGAGAGTTTTCAAATTCCTGCCCGCTTACCTTGAACTTCTGGGTCCGCGCCATGGGAATGAGCCCTGTTTGGCAAACTGGCTGTGTGGGCCCAGAGTTGGCAGTCTCTGGCCAGCATACCCCACCTCCCTCCCAGAAGCTTCCAGAAACCACGTTTTGGCACGATGAGATGAGGTTTTCGATGGCAGGCCTACATCTGGACCCTCCTGTGTTGTCCCCCTGAAACAGAGCCACACCCATTTGTTCTTTACCCCAGGGTGACCGGGCCACACCTTCTGACTAATGCAGCGAGTTGGCATACCTTAAACAAAACCAACCCAGAAAGCATTGACACCTACAGATTTTACTGAGGGTTTCAGGAGAACACCGAGAAGGCTATCATATATCCATCAGAACTTCTTAAAAGTCCCCCTGATGCACCCTGCCCTTGACCTCCCCTCTCCTCCCCCACACCCCCAGCCCCCACACTGGGGCTCCAGCCAAGCCTCTTGGCCTCTCGCCCTGCTCCTCTTCTCCCATCACCTAAAAACAAGCCTGGACGTTAGCCAGACTGAGGCCATCTCTTGCTCGAGCTCACTTCTGATGCGAGGAGCCGTTCATTGAGCTGCCTAGTTTTATTCTAAATATTCCAAATTAAATCAGACAGTTTCACATGCGACGCTAAGCCCAGAGCTTCTGACGGAGTTGGGGTGGGAGAATGACACTCCCTGGAGCAGCCGCAGAAGTTTCAGGGCCTCTGGTGAGCAGGTCCCCCCTTGCCACGTTTACTGAAGTCTACAGGTTCTTCTCAGGTGGGGGATGGCAGCAAGTCAGGCTGCTGCAGGCCTTGCCGTCCTGAGGCCACGTCTGCCCTTGGCGTTCGGCCAACAGCTCTTCTTTTCAACATTGCCCGCCTTTTCCAGCTCCGAACATCTCTGGGGAAAGGAAGGGCCTTTATCCGCTACTCCCTGGTGCACCAGAGGTTGGCAGACACCTTACAGCAGTGCTTCATGAACACCAAGGTGACCAGGTAAGGGCGTGGCAGAGCTGGGGTTTACCCCGTGAGCACGAGGGGGCCCCCAGCCATCCTCGGTGCGTGTGTGGTGGTAGCACCGCTTGTGCACCGGGGAAGACAGGAAGCTCAGGGGGCCCGAGTGCCTTTCTCTAGCCCCACTGATGCCGGGTCACAAAGCAGAAGCTTAGATCCAAAGCTCTGAGCTCCTGATGCCAGTGGATTTCCCTCACGGGTGGCATGCCCTCGGTGCTGGCCCTAATGAAGGGACAGACCCCACCGGCCACCAGGGCCCTCACCCGAGACTCCGTGTCAGCGTCTGCTGGGTGTGTCAGGGCTACCCGGACGTGGCAGTGGGCGGCCAGATTGGAGCCCAGGTTGTTGGTGGGGTCAGCCTTTGTGTGGCTGGTGCTAAAGTCTGAGGCGGGGAGGAAAGGGGGGCTTGAGAATGTAAACGGGGCATCCCGCGAGGAGCTGCCGCTCAGGCTCCTAGCAGCCGAACCTCTTTCAGTCTCCCTGCACCCTTTTCCAGCACTGCCTCCCCTCTCCCCAGGAAGTGTTCTTCCAGTTAATCAAAGAAATCCCTTGTGGATTAAAAAAAAAAAAAAAAAAAAACCCGCTTGCAGGGGGAAAAAAACACTGTGTTTCGTTTTGTCACCTTGAAGATTGATTTGCATAAAGACATATCTCTCGTGCGTGTGGCAGGCTCTGTGAATTCATGTGAGCTGAGAACCTTCGCACGTTTGATCTGAAGGTTACTTCGTTCTAGACATTTGGTGAGAATCGTCCCCAGCCACTTGACATCCAGGGTGGCACCTTTCAGGAGCGCCAGCCAAGCAGCTCTTGACACGCGCAGCGGTGGTGTCTTTCCCACTTCTTGCTGCTTCACGTGGTGCAGCCGCCAGCACCTCAAAGTGCAGCCGTTCCATTTCTTGGCTTTAAAACTGGTGTCCGGACGGTCCTTAGCCACGAGCTCACCGGTGTGTATTGAATCCTCTCGAAGGAATAGAAGATGAGGTTAACATTTCACAGAGGAAGAATTCTTTCCCCTGTAACTGCCCCTTTCCTGGCACATAACTGAGATTTAAATTTTCTCGTATCCTTTTTGGGGATTGTTTAGGATGTCAATAATACACGAATAAGCATCTAATTCATTTCAGTGATTTCCTTGAAGAAGAGCAAGCATATTTGAAAGTTACATGCTCCCACAGTGAAAATCAAATTGTGTGTGTGTGTGTCCCTATCTGTCTTATCTGTCTGAATTTATCTCGTTAGTAAGAAGTGAGAATTTGGTAAGGCAGAGCCATATCAAATTCAGTCTTTGCTTTCCTTTGTTATTCTTGTCATCGATCCCTTTTCCTGCTTCCCTGCAGTGACTGGTACTACGCAAGAAGCCCCTTCCTGAAGCCGAAGCTGAGCTCCGACATCGTAGGCCAGCTCTACGAGCTCACCGAGGTCCAGTTTGACCTGGCGTCCAGAGGCTATGACTTGGACGCTGCCTGGCCAACGTTTGCCAGGTATTTTGAAGAATCGCTTGGTTGAAAACACAGGGGAAAGAGATGTTCGAAGTTCTGAAGGTTGCCGCCAGTCGATGCAAAGCGGTTCGGTCACTCAGTAGATTACAGAAGGCTTTGCAACTCTTACGCCTGCGAGTTTTCTAGGCTTTGTTGAGTCTGACTAACGATAACATCTGAAGGCTCCAACCCGAAACTCTCCTAATCCTCCTCCCCTAATCCTCCTCCCCGGCCAGGTGGTGTGAGTCAGTGGAGATGCGTATGCAAATCCCGAGTTTTCTTAGGTGTGTTAAGGGACTTGGGGGTGGCAGCGGGGGAGCCAGTGGGCTTTTTCCTGGTCGTGTTCTTGCAGAGTTCCTCAGAGGCCTTGAGGCCAGTGGGAGAGGGAGTTACGGCTCCCCCACCGAAGGGTAAGCGCGCTCGCCTTCCACTCCAGGAGGGGGATGGGAGAGGACACGCTCAGACATTGGGCGACTTGCCCACAGTTGCCCAGTACTGCAGGGCACCAGACTCGAGTTCAACTCCAGTTCAGCACTTTTTTTTTTGAGAGAGGGAGAACGCGAGGGCATGCATGGGCGTGTGTGAGAGCACGTGTGTGCATGCACATGGGTGCACACGTGGGGAGGGGGGAAGCAGAGAGGAAGGGAAGAGAGAATCTCAAGTCAGCTTCATGCCCAGCTCGGAGCATGGATCTCACGACCCTGAGATCGTGATCAAGAGTTGGTCATTTAACCAACTGAGCCACCCAGGCGCCCACCAGTGCCACGTTCTTTGCTTTGCTTTCTGTTAATACAGGTTGTTTTCAGTGTCCATTTTTGTATTTTTTTATTAAAAATATTCGCCCTGTGGAGAAAAGTCCTGAATCTGATGATGCCGTGAGCCGACCACTGAGATGAAAAGCTAACATTCTGCCGTATTTACTGCACGTGTCCTTTTAAAAACTTCTTCATTTTGAATTCGTTTCATAATTACAGCACAGTTGCCCCCAAAATGCCACAGAGCATTCATCCAGCCTTCACCCTGCCTCCCCAGTTCTCAGTACTTTGCTACAACTGTTTAATCACTCTCTCTTTAAAAATACATGTTGGTTTATTCCCTAGGCCATTATAGAGAAAGTTACAGACTTGATTCCCCTTGACTCCTCAGGACTCACTGTGTACTTCCCAAAGTCAAGGGCACCCCCTTATGTATAAGCTTAGTGCGGTTATGAAGATCAGGGATTTAACGTGGATACAATGCCACCAGTTGACAGATTCTAAGAATCATCCCAGTAATGTCTTTTATACTCCAGGAGCCCGCCCAGGAGTTAATGCCAGTCTCTCCGGTCTTCTTGAATTTGGAACAGTTTCTCAGTCTTTGTCTTTCACGGTGTAGACATTTTTGAAAAGCACAGGCCAGTTACTTTGTAAAATGTTCTTTGTTGGAGTTTGTCTAGTGCTTCCTCATTGTGAGATTCAGGGTGAGTGTTTCTGGCAGGAGAACCCAAATGTTGTGTCGTCTTCAGCACAGTCTAGAGACCCTCATGGTGATTTGTCTCATCACCGGGGCAGTTGCCTGTGACCATTAGGTAAAGGTGGTGTTTGCCAGATTTCTCTAAAGTTATTGTCTCTCCCTTTGTAATCATTAGGTTTCTTTTTTTTTTCTTTTTTTTTAAAGATTTTATTTATTTGACAGACAGAGATCACAAGTAGGCCAAGAGGCAGGCAGAGAGAGAGGAAGAAGCAGGCTCCCCACTAAGCAGAGAGCCCGATGTGGGGCTCGATCCCAGGACTCTGGGATCATGACCTGAACCAAAGGCGGAGGCTTTAACCCACTGAGCCACTCAGGCGCCCCAATCATTAGGTTTCTTATAGGAAGATACTTTAAGATTAGGTTAACCAACTAGGGCTTAGTCGGTTAAACATCTGCCTTTGGCTCAGGTCATGATCCCAGGATCCTGGGATCGAGCCCCGCATCGGGCTCCCTGCTCAGTGGGGAGTCTGCTTCCCCCTCCCCCTGCTCATGCTCTCTCTCTTGCACTGTGTCTCTCAAATACATAAGTAAAATCTTAAAAAAAGATCAGGTTGTTACCTCTCTTTTTCCTTAATATTTATATACCCACATTTGTATGTATTTTTGTGAGCTCTATGCCCAGCATGGGGCTTGAACTCACAACCCCGAGATCAAGAGTCGCATGCTCTGCTGACTGAGCCAGCTAGGCACCCCTGTGTATTTATTCATTTATAGCAGAGTTGACTCATGGATTCTTACTTTATTCCGTGGGTTATATTCTGTCACTGTAATCATTAATTTGATGCCTAAATTGTTCCTTATTTGGCCAGCAGAAGCCCCTTAGAGCTGGTTCTTTTGGGTTGGTTTTTTTGTTTTTTTGGATGTTGTCATGTCTGATACCATGTGTTTAGGAAATAAAAGATCACAAATCCAAATAAAGACCCACCCCACTCTCACGCTGTCCCCTTTAATTCCTGTCCAGAAGTAATGACAGCCCTGTAGTTGCCACATGTCATTCCCGAATATCTTTGTGTGTTACCGAGTGGGTATCCCTGCATATTTTATATACATGTGGTTTTATTTTGTATGCATTTATAAATTTTGCATATATCGAATCATAGGTAGCTCTTCTTTTTGCAACTTGCTCATCTCGCTGCATATTGGAGATTTTTATCAGCATTTGTGTGGATTTCTGTAGCTGCAGAGAGCGGGTTGACCAGCCATCTCCCACCGGCTGGGGGGGGCGGGGTTGGGGGGTGGATCAGACAGCTTCACCTGTTCATTTACCTGTTGTCCACGGTTGCTGTCATGCCGCCACTGGAGCATGTGTTGGGACCGAGACCAGAAGGCGCACAAGCATAAGATATGTCCTTTCTGGCTCTTCGTAAGAGAAGATTGCTAACCCCCAATGCAGAGTGTTCTGTTGTACAACTGAATGCCAGCTTATCTGTTTCCTGGTGGTACAGAGTTAATTAGGCTGGGTCTGCTGCCCCCAAGCCCGCTGTCACCTTGACTTATCAGACTGATTGCTGCTTTTCTCTTGCTAGCAGACAGACTGTGACAGGCACCTGAGGGGGTGAGGAAAATTTCTGCCCCCAATGGGGAAATGATACATCCATTTAGTTCTTCCCGGGCAGCAGGTGGAAAGGCCTATTACGTTCAGACTTAGAAGTGGAGCTGTCAGCTGCAGACCAGCGTAAATGCGATCTCTGGTAGAAGCTGATGGGTTTTTGCCTTTTTAGACTCTCTCCAGGAGGGCAGTGCCCCCTGCTACCACCTCCTGCCTTGTGATAATCAGGGCCTCTGTGCATGCTTACTCGTGCGTGTTTCCCGCTCTGATGCAGTCTGTCCTGTGGCCCTGCAGGAGGACGCTGGCCCCTGGCTCTTCGGCTTACCTGTGGAAACCTCCCAGCCGCAGCTCCAGCATGAGCAGCTTGGTGAGCAGCTACCTGCAGGTAAGACCAGCAAGGCTGGGAGTCTCCTCACCAGAATGCCAACCGGGCTGTGCCCTGGCCTCTTGCAACTCGGGGCGATGTGCTCAGATGCCTTTTTTTTTTTTTTAAGATTTATTTATTTATCTATTTATTTATTTGACACACAGAGAGAGACAGCAAGAGAAGGAACACAAGCAGGGGGAGTGGATGAGGGAGAAGCAGGCTTCCCGCTGAGCAGGGAGCTCAATGGAGGACTCGATCCCAGGACCCCGAGATTAGGACCTGAACTGAAGGCATATGCTTAATGACTGAGCCATCCAGGCGCCCCTCTCAGACACCTTTTATTCCAACTCAAGTAATATAAAGCCTCTGTTATCTGAGTTATTTCCTAGAGGCCAGGTTTTTATGACCCAATAGAACTTGGGCTTTTTATTATTTTTTTTAAGATTTTATTTGTTTATTTGACAGAGATCACAAGTAGGCAGAGAGGCAGGCAGAGAGAGAGGGGGAGGAAGCAGGCTCCCGCTGAGCAGAGAGCCCGATGGGAGGCTCGACTCCAGGACCCTGGGATCATGACCTGAGCCGAAGGCAGAGGCTTTAACCCACTGAGCCACCCAGGCGCCCCGGAACTTAGGCTTTTTAAGAATTAAATTCTGTTAGAAGCTTTTCAAGTATTTTAAAGGAAGCAATTTAGCTCTTGGGTTAGAAGCAGCAGAGTCCAACGCTGCCACGTAGTCCTGGGCAGACCGCTTACCTTCTCAAAACTTCAGTGCTCTCATCCCAAAATGGAGGTCCTGGAAGTCATTCTAGCTCAAAAGGGGACAGTGCAGATCAAGTGAAGGAGTCCTTAAGGGCTTGACGTAGGCAAGTAAGTGCTCAGGAAAGTTCATGGGAAAGGCAAATTTCGTTAATTGTGTTACAAATGTGAGAGTATCATACGCGCGTATGGTTTTAAAGGTCAGAACAGTGCAGGTAATTGATAAAAATACAACAACTAAAAGGTAGTAGAAGCATTAAGAGTGGAGAATAAATTGAGCTGGAGCCCTATTTTGTGGTTGAATCACAGCAGGAGCTGTAGGTACGGTGCAGCGGCGAACAGGAGTTTAAATGTAACTTAATCTAAGTGCCACTGCCCGCTATGCTCCCGGCGCTCCAGGAGGCTGGATGGGACGTGCGGGTTCTGAGTACCCGGGGAGCTGGCGTCTGTGGTCTTGTGTGTTTAGGATGTGTTCTGACCTCCTTTGGCAGGTGCTCCCAGAAAGGCGCTTCTAGCCTTTTGAATAGCTCGATAGGCTCGCTATTTAATGACTTCTCGTTAAACTCTAAAGCTTCTCCCCGTGGCCGTGTAGCTTCTGTCCCAGACCCACTTGTGTATTGTTTCTCCTCCGCAGACTCAGGAAATGGCCTCCAGCTTTGACGTGAGCAGCCCCCTAAACAACGAGGCGCTCGAGGGCTTTGACGAGATGCGGCTGGAGCTGGACCAGCTGGAAGTGCGGGAGAAGCGGCTGCAGGAGCAGATGCAGCAGCTGGACCGAGAGAACCAGGAGTTGAGGGCAGTGGTCAGCCTGCAGGCCGAGCAGCTGCAGGCGGAGAGGGAGAGGGGCCGCGCCACTGCCGAGGACAAGGCCCGCCTCACCCACGAGGTGGCCCAGCTGCAGAAGCAGCGGGAGGTCACGCAGGCCGCCCAGAGCGCCGTGGAGCAGTTCCAGAAATGCCTGCAGGCCCTGGAGCTGGGGGCAGCAGAGAAGGAGGGGGATTACCGCTCAGCCCTGCGGCGGCTGGAGTCCGTGCTGGAGCCCCTGCTGCAGGAGCTTGAGGCCGCGCGGGACCCGCTGGGCAGGAAGAACCAGCGTTCGGCTGATGTCCCGGACCGGCTGGGTGCGGCTGAGCAGAAGGCAGATAGGGCACCGGACACGGAGGCGCAGCGAGAGCTCCTCCCCGGGGACTTGGCCCTGGAGGTCCAGGAGCTGCGGGAGAAGCTTCAAGCCCTGGAAGGAGAGAGCTGCAAGGCTCAGGAGCTCCACAGGCAGCAGAGTGCCCAGCTCGAGCAGCTGGCCGGGGAGCTGGAGCGGAAGGAGGAGGCCCGGGCCGGCCTGGAGCGCCTGCTGGAGGAAATGGCCCCAGTCCAGGAGGAGCTGGCCGGGAAGGGGCAGGAGGCGGCCCAGCTGCGGCGACAGCTACGGGAGGCCCTAGGCCACCTGAGTTCCCTTGAGCAGGAACTGGCAGACGTGAGGCAGGAGGACCGGCAGCGGCGAGAGGAGAAGGAGCTGCTGGAGCAGGAGGCCAGGTCTCTGGCGCGGCAGCTGCGGCTCCTGGAGACCCGGGTGGCCCAGCTGAGCCAGCACGTGGGGGACCTGGAGGAGCAGAAGAAACAGCTCATCCGGGACAAAGACCACCTCAGCCAGCAGGTGGGGATGCTGGAGCGGCTCGCCGTGCAGCGAGGCCCGGATCTGCCCGTGGCAGGGGAGAAGCCCACCACCCAGGGTGCGCCAGACTCCAGCCTGCAACAGGTCTTTGAGAAGCCGGAGGAGGAGCAGAGAAGCCCCCAGGAGGGCCAGTCAGGTGACACCCAGATGCGAGAGAGCGGCCAGGAGGAGAAGCTCCAGCAGGCCAACAGGGAGCTGGAGAAGGAGCTGCAGAACGTGCTGGAGTGCAACCAGCTCCTTGAGGGCAAGCTGCAGGCGCTGCAGGCTGATTACCAGGCCCTGCAGCAGCGGGAGGCAGGCATCCGGGGCTCCCTGGCCTCCCTGGAGTCTGAGCAGGCCAGCATCCGTCACATGGGGGACCAGATGGAGGCGAGCCTCCTGGCCATGAAGAAGGCCAAGGAGACCATGAGGGCGCAAGTGGCCGAGAAGGAGGCCGCCCTGGAGAACAAGCAGGCCGAGTGCCGGCAGCTGCAGGAGGAGGTCGGGCGTTGCCGGCAGCTGGCGGAGGCCCGGGAGAGGGAGCTCAGGGCTCTCGAGAGCCAGTGCCACCAGCAGACCCAGCGGATCGAGGCCCTCATGGCAGAGCAAGGCCAACGGGGGCTCAGCGCACCTGACGACAGTGCACCCCAGGAGCCAGCCACCCCGCTGGCCCTGTGTCAGGCCCAGGTGGAGACCCAGCAGGGGGAAGCCGGGCACCCGCCAGCTGGGGTGCTGGACCTTGAGGCCAAGCTCCAGGCAGCCCTGGGTGACCTCGAGAAGGTACAGGGCCAGCTGAGCGTGGCCGAGGCTGCTCTGAGGGAGCACAGGGCCCTGGTGCAGCAGCTGAAGGAGCAGAATGAAGCCCTCGGGAAGGCCTCTGGTCGGGAGCCGCTGCAGCGCTCGGAGCAGGAGAGGACTGAGGAGGAGGTGGAGGAGGAGGAGCGGTCCAGGACAGAATCCGGCTCCCAGGAAGCCCGGCTGGAACAGGCAGAGCCGCCAGAGCGGCTGCCCGGGGCCAGCCCAGCCGCCGACAAGCCCAGCATCCATACCTGCATGCCGCTCGCCGAGAAAAAGCAGGCCGAGGAGGCCCTGGCCCGCGCCCTGCAGGAGCTCCGTGACGCCAAAGAGGCGGCCTCGAGGCAGCGAGAGGGCCTGGAAGAGCAAGTGGCAGGCCTGCAGCAAGAGAGGGACGGCTTGCAGGAAAGGCTGAAGGTGGCCGAGGAGGCAGCCCGCTCCCTGCCTGGCCTGCAGGCCCAGCTGGCCCAGGCCGAGCAGCGGGCCCAGAGCCTCCAGGAGACCTCACACGAGGAGCTCAACGCCCTCAGGTTCCAGCTGAGCACGGAGATCATGGACCACCACAGTCGACAGAAGGTAGTCCTCCCTCGCCTTGACCCCCCGGGCTGCAGCGGCCTCCTGCGGTGGGGCCTGATGGGCCCACGACAGGATAGGCTGTGCCTTCAGCCACGTGGCACCTGAGGACCCCAGAATGTACTGGGCGGCCGGGCAGAGACGGAGGTCCTGCTCTGTAGGTCCCAGCACCCTTCCCTTCCCAGGGACCCTTCAGGGGCCCCTGTCGGGAGCAGGGCCCTAGCCCAGAAGCCTAAACTCAGTGCGACCGCAGACAGGTTTGGCTCATACAGAGTGGCTGTTTCACACCAGTGGCCAGCTCTTAACAATCCGGTGTTTACACAGTAGTGTGGGGGCTCCCTTTGAGCTCTCAGGAGATCTTAAAGGCTGTGCCCGTGTTGCCGCCCTGCAGAAGTCACCAGGAGCTGGGCGGCGGGGGCCCCCTTCAAAGGAGGCATGTGTTTTCCTTATGCTCGTTTACGTATGTGCCCAGCCCTCTGGGCCTATGAGTCTGCCCTAGACCCTCTCCCAGCCTCTAGAACCTACTGGAGATACCAGCAGGCCCCACCTGCGAGTCTCGTCTGTGGGTTTTCTCTCCCTTCAGGTGCCATCCTGGTGGGAGGTGCTGTGGAGACTGGCTCAGTGCGTTTCCACAAAGCCCTTGGGGTAGACAGGCTTACAGGAGCAGTGCTTACCATGGGCCTTTACTACTGCACGAAGGGAAAGGGGTAAGGTGGCTGAGAGTGAGGACACAAGCAGGACGGCCGTGGGGCCTTGATTTCCAGAACTTAGCACTGAGCCGTTAGCACTGCAGTCTGCGCTCACTCCCAGACACACAACCATGGCATTTCTACAGACGGGCCTCCAGTACTGTGTCCCCCATCCCGCGTGGCTCTGTGTGGCTCGCAGGGCCCTCGTTTCCTTGGCGGAAATTGAATCCTAAGTGTGAGGACCAAGTTAAGTCTTTTCAGAAACCCGAAAGGATGTTGTCACCAGTCAAGCCCAGAGCTTATTGAGTTTGGTGGAAAACAGAGAGCTTGTTCTGGGGGAATGGGGCTGAGGGGATGTTCGTGCAAGGACCCCACTTCCACAAGCCCTCTCTCATCTCCAGACTGCCAGTGAAGAGTGCCGGAGCCTCAGGGACCAGCTTGAGGAGCGAGGCCGGCAGCTGCAGGCCGCCGAGGAGGCCGTGGAGAGGCTGAAGGTAGGCCCCGGGGGGGGTGTGCTCGTCGGTGGCCTGGCCACCTGGGCAGGGAAGACTGGCGTGCCCACCTCTGCCTGTTCGTTCCCACCCCCAGGGTGCGGGCCTGTCGGGAAGAGAGGTCTGGTTTGGTTTCTGCTGGACCCTTTAGGGCCGCATGCAAGACTCGCAGTTCCCAAGCCAGAGCGCCCATCCGTTCCCTGGTGTGGACGTCTTGAGTGCACCTCTCCGGGCCCTCCCGCCTCCCGGACACCTGGCTGGGGCCACCAGATGTGTTTCTCAGCCAGCCAGGCGGAAAGGATGTAAGGTGTCCTTAGCTGCCTCCGCTGGTATCCCTGAGCCAGTGGTCCTGAACAGTGGGGGTTGCTGCCTGTCTCCAGGGAACCCCGCTCTCTGCCACCACCACCTTCGCCCCCACCCTGAGAGTCTGATTCTTGCTACCCCTCCAACCTCCACCGCCAGCTTGACGGGATGACAAGCAGGAGCAGGTCACTCAAAGGTTCTCGGGCTCTTGAATTTAAAACCACCTCCAGTTAGAAGTGACCCGGCCAGCTGGGGTGGAGGAACCCCCACCCCCACCCCCAGTCCCTTTCTGGCCGAGGCGTGGGCTCTTGTCGGCTGAGTATCCTCTCCCCGCGTCCTGTGCCAGGCCGCCCAGGTGGATCTGGGAGAGCAGCTGAGCAGCACCAGCCAGCGTCTTTCCGAGAGCCAGGCTGCCGTGCAGAAGAAGGATGAGGAGCGGGCCGCCTTGCGCGAGAGCTTGGACAGGTTAGTGATGTGGTTCCATCCACACGGCCCCGGTGGTGGAGGCTTCAGGGAAGGGGGCGTTTGGCACAGTCATTTAGAAACTCAGCCGCTCAGAGCGGGCTAAGGAAGTCCCCTTGCAAGAAAAGCCAGACTCGGGAGACGCCTTGCCAGATACACGCCACACAGCCTGCCCGGTGAGGGTGCCCGTGTGTGTGTGCACGCGTGTGTGCGTGTGTGTTTTCCCGCTACGAGCTGTGACTCTTCCTGGTTTCCTTTGTGAAATGAGAGGCCCCAGGGCTGGGGGTTGGGGTGGGGGGAGGCCTCCGAAGTCTGTGCCAAGGGTGAGCCAGGGTGCCCGGCACCAGGCCAGCCGGTCTGCCTGCAGACTCTGCCGCCGTGTTTGTGTTGTCACCCTTCACTGCGACTGCCCTCCCCTTGGAGTATGGCCCTGCTTGTGCAGCCCCAAGACCTCCCTGAGACCCTTCGTCTTCAGGCTAGGGGGCCACATGGAGTTATGAGCATGAGCCCAGCATTCGGTGAGGAGGCCAAGGCAGTCATGCCGGGGATCCCGGGACCCGGTGTGTGCCCCCAGCAAAGACTATCACACCAGATTGTCCCAAGCCTTTACCTTGTGCGTGCAAGCCTCATGGCCTACCAGCCGGCTTCCAGGGTGGGTGCAGTCTTGGCAGGAGATCCAGAACATGCTGGGTGTCCGCTATCCCAGATGCACATTTCTCCTCGCCTGATTTCTTCCAGAGTTCAAACACTATAGGGCTCTGGCTGCCCAGGTCATAGTCACGTGACAATATAAGTAGCAAGAGCCTCCTAAAAGTTGGTGGCATTTTTTTTTTAATGCTACAACTGGGCGCCTGGGTGGCTCCCTGGGTTAAGCCTCTGCCTTCGGCTCACATCGTGATCACAGGGTCCTGGGATCGAGCCCTGCATCAGGGTCTCTGCTCATCGGGGACCTTGCTTCCCCCTCCCCCTCTGCCTGCCTTTCTGCCTACTTATGATCTCTCTCTCTGTCAAATAAATAAATAAAATATTTTTTAAAAATGCTACAACTGTGCTTATTCCTAAGATCTCGGAGCTGTTGTCTTAGCTGCCGGATGTTGCATAACCTGCCGGCCCTGGATTGGGTGTGCGTGCATGCATGTGTGCGTGTGTGTCTGTGTGTACACCCGTGAGATCACTTTGGCGAACAGTGGCTCGTAAACAACCTTCGGGCAGCTTTATGCTGGGTGTGGGAAGGTGGGATTAGACACAGATATCTGGCTTAGTCTCCACAGAGCCCTGTGTCTAATGGAGCTTTTACGAATGCCCTGCTGGATCTTGGGGTTCGTAGAGCATTCCTGGAGCACCACTGCCCTCAGGGACAGGGGAGCGGGCAAGGGCAGGAGGACCGTGCTTCGTTCGGGCAGCCCCTTGGCTGTAGACTGAGCCGAGGGAACAGAGCGCCTTAGGCCTCTGGACTGTCGGGTCAGGACCTGGCAGTGCCCATCGAGTGCCCGCTGGGTAGCCCAGCACCACACCCTGTGCACAGAGCCCCAAAGGCACGTGGGAGACGGGTCCTCGTCCATGTGGTCCCCTCCAGGGAGATGCACCTGTGTTCTTTCTATCCCAACTCCCATTTCCTCTTGCAAACTGCTCCCATCATCGGCCTGTCCACTGCAGCCTTCACCTTCCCCCATAACCTCAGCCCCTGCCCCAAAACCAAGGTGCAGAGTTCAACTCACCTGGGGTGCTCCTAGCGGCCTGAGGTCACCTGCTCTCCCAGAATGCCCGCTGTATTTGGTGTGGGGAGGGGAGTGGTGTGTGAAGAGGGTGGGGCTGCGAGAGGAGTTTTGAAGGCTGGGACTGGGGATGCACAATCTGGTAGTGGGTCGTGCCGAGGGGCACCCCACTGTGAGAGGGAAAAGGCTTGGAGGGCAGCAGGACCCCTGGTCAGGGGTCCAAGTTAGCCCAGAGGCACGGGGGAAGCTGGACACGGTGGCTTATCGGTAAGCTTCCCACTTCTCCACCAGGACCCAGAAGGAACTTGAAAAAGCCACAACAAAAATCCAAGAGTATTACAACAGACTCTGCCAGGAGGTGACAGACCGGGAGAAGAATGACCAGAAGATGCTCGCGGACCTCGATGACCTGAATAGAACCAAGCAGTACCTGGAGGAACGGCTGATCGAGCTTCTCAGGTGAGAGTCGGCGCCAGCAGCTGGCTCGGGGCCTCCCCAGAGCTGGGATTTCTCTTGAAAGACATGCGGCTGCGCTTGAAAGTCCTCTCGAGGGAAATGGGCCCCGTGTCTGCTTGTGTTGCGTCATTGAGGCCCTCCTCCAACACAGATGGGGCACGCCCTGGCCCTTGGCCGCCTTAAAGGGTGGATTTCACTGCTCCCATCAGCGCTCATCTGGGTTTATGTTGTCGTACTTGCTGGGACATTATTTTCAAAATCTCTGTGTTCTTAGCCACAGGCGTGACAGTAAGTGATGTCTCGTATCTTTAGGAAGCTCTCTTGTCCCTTGTCCCTCTTTCGTCTTTACCCTTCTCCTCCCTCTCGCTTTCCCCGTGATACCAGGCCTCCCACGCTCCAGTGCCCACGGGTAGCAAGCAGACAGTGCAGGTAGCAGCGTGTGAGCGGGGCCAGGAGGGCACTCAGGACCTGGAGGACACGCGTGCCGTGCTCCTGACACTTGTCACCACACGGGTGAAGGGCCCAACTTCCCAGATCGCCTTACTTCTCGCGAGAATATAATTTTTTCTAATGAGGCTCTAGACCAGATCTACGCTGCAAGAGAAATATGTTAGGTTTCTCTTACTTAGCCTGTGATTTGGCCACCATCTCACCAACTTGTTTGTTTTTTCGTTGCAATTTACTTTCGAGGAAGCTAGGTCATGCATCTGGCCGAGTCTCCCACAGCTTGGATTTTGCTGATTGCATCCCTGTGGTGCCATTTAACATGTTCTTCCAACCTCGGGATGTCTGTAAATTGTTAAATTTGTAAATTGTTAGTTAAAACCACAGCAGTGGTTCCCCCACCTCAGCGACAGGTTAGAATCCCTAGGGGAGCTATTAAAATGATACCCACCTCCAGATCCTACCCAGATCAAGCCAGCTGGAGCTTCTTGGAGTGAGGCCGGGGCATCAGTGAGCCAGCGTCGAGATCCGCTGCTCTACTGAAGGCTGACTCAGACCCAAGTTCAGCATTTTCTCAAGAACGCTTCATAGAATTGGTTTACAGTTTGGGCCTTGCTTTCAAGAGCCACATAAGATCTGATGAACCCATTCTCTGCAATGTTAGCAGCCATGGATAAGCGATGCCTAAAGCCGCTAATTTATTTGGGGTTGTAAAATGGTGGTGTTTGCAAGTGTGAGACCTCTGCCCATGTGTCATCAGTTTTCAGACTTGGAACTCAGGGCATCTATGACCTCTGAACTCAGATCTCTTCCTGATGGAAGGACCCTGGTCCTGACAGCGTCCCACATTCCAGGGTGTGGGTGCCCGGCCTCCAGGGGACAGGGGGGAGGGGCTGAGAATCAACCAGGAGGATGATGCTGGACCAGGGCGTGAGTTGTCCTGCTTGCTGACAACTTCAGGCATCCTTGAAGAGCCAGTCAATTCCTGCTTCTGTCCTGGCTTTTGAAGATTGATTTATTTGAGAGAGAGAGAGAGAGAGAGAGCAAAAGCATGGGGAGGAAAGGCAGAGGGGGAGGGAGAAGAAGGAGGAAAGAATCCCAAGCAGACTCCATGCTGAGCGCACAGTCCAGCACGGGTTCGATCTCACAACCCATGAGATCAGGACCTGAGCTGAAACCGGGAGTCTAATGCTCAAACAGCCGAGCCGTCTGGGTGGCCCCGTCCCGGCTTTTAGTATTTAAGGGGAGAGCTCTGTGGATTGGGAGTCTCCGGCTGGTGGTGGCATCAGTTTCTCACAGGACTTCAGTGATCCTGGTGTTGGTCTTTGAGACTGAGGTGCTGCTGGGCCTACAGTAACCTTAGGGTGGTGGCTGGGGCTCTGTCTTGGAAAGAACAAAGCCTTCCCAAGTCGGAAGCCATAAGCCTCGAAAATGACCATGAACAGCAACACAGAAGCCTCCGCACCTCGGCGCTGGTGCATCGGCCACGTTCTGACGCTGCGAGACCTTTCTGAAAAGCCCCCCTCTTCCTTCAGTCTTGCCTCCTAGAGTAGGTACCATCTCTCTGAGGAGCAGGGGCAGTTAACATCCCGTCAGAGTCTTAGATGGGGCAATCTTTGGTCTCCTCCACCGATCACTTGTTACTTAAAACCTAAACCCATAAAGCTTCCTGAACACATTTAAGATTTGCATGGGCAGTGCATCTGTGGTCCTTGGGCTCACAGCACTCAGGCCATCATGTGACTGTGACAACCTGTTACAGCTGCCGCTCCAAGTGACCGAGAAACACTGTCCCTTGGACGCCTGAGCAGCATGTGACCCTTGTGGGCCTAAGTACATCATGGGCATCCTCTGCCCTCACTTGCGTGCCATCAGCTGAGTCTAGGAGTGATGCAGGGGCCGGACGAGGCCTAGAGTAGGGGTGTTTCCAAGGAAAGTCAATTTACCTGCCATGTCTTGGGAACTTTGGAATCAGGCTTTGGAAATGAATCAGGGATCATCCCGTTGTTCTCACTGATTCTTCTCTTTTTCTAATGCGGCTCTGTCTCAGGGACAAGGATGCTCTGTGGCAGAAGTCAGATGCCCTGGAATTCCAACAGAAGCTCAGTGCTGAGGAGAGGTGGCTCGGGGACACAGAGGCAAGCCACTGTCACGACTGCAAGCGAGAGTTCAGCTGGATGGTGCGGCGGCACCACTGCAGGTCAGCGGGTGGGACCCAGCACCGAAGCAGGTGCCACCAGCAGGCGTGGGCCCTGCCGCTGTCTTTCTGGGAAACGCACTTTGCTGTTTGGTCCTGAGGGAACCAAACGATGGGGTGCATTAGGCTGGGTCCTGGCAGGACATGCAGGGATCCCTGAAGGGGAAGAGGATTTGATAAAGGGGTGTGGGCAGAGTCAAGGGGACCCACAGGGCCGTGGAGCACCCAGACACCAGCAACCCTTGGCCTCCCCCAGCCCTCGGGGACCAAAGGGGACGCAGCGTTACCGGAGCCCCGGGAGAGCAGGGATGGGGACTTGGCTGGAGGACTGCGGACAGCGGAGACCTTCCTAGGGCCCAAAGAAGGGTAGGCAGAAATAAATCTCATTTGTGGCCAAATGAGATGGAATATCATCCTCACAGCCCAGGTGGGTCTGGGGTCCCTTGGAGCCTCAGCCCCCGAGGCGTGGAACAGTACACCTGCATTCCAGTGGCAGAGAAGGTGGGCTCAGCCACGTACTTTATCCCCCTGCCTCCCAGGACCTTGGGAAAGTAAACATCTTCTCCCAGGGCCTTATCAAGATGGCTTTATTGAAATCTTATCAGATTGGCGGGAAGGCCACACTCCTCGGTGAGAGCAGAGCCAGGTCTGACGAGAGCCATATGGCATCTAGAGCCCAGTGCAGATCATGGTACCCACAGTGCGTCACCCTCACAGCCCGCGCTCGTTTCGCCCCAGGATCTGCGGCCGCGTCTTCTGTTACTACTGCTGCAACAACTACGTCCTGACCAAGCACAGTGGCAAGAAGGAGCGTTGCTGCCGAGCCTGCTTCCGGAAGTTCAGCGACGGCCCTGGCTCCCCTGACAGCGCCAGCTCGGGCACCAGCCAGGGGGAGCCCAGCCCTGCACTGTCGCCAGCCCAGGCTGGGCCCCAGGCTGCCAGAGGCCAAGGTCAGGCTCCCGCTCTTGCCCTCTGTGTTCTTAGGTGCCACCCACCCCGCCCCCCACCACCACCCCAGTGTGGCTAGTTAGCTGGAATGAGCTGAATTCATGGTTTTCTAAACGGGCATTAAAGAGGAGCTAAAAATGTATTACACCAGTTTGAGGCTTGAAAGAGAATTGAAAAGGGAATTCATTTCCTCCTGGTTTGAGTCAGTGTTATTTAATATGAGGTCTGTGTACCTCTTAATTCATATGCTGCCAGTGGAATGTACCCCACATCTTGGGAAATACTGTCTCCTGAGTCTCACCCCAATACCCAGCCCTCCTGCCAGAATAGCCAGAGGCCAAAAGTTGTGTATGGAAGTGACCACATCCTTCACCTTCTCCCTGTGGCTCACACGATCTCTCAGGGACCAAGGAAGATGTATTCTCCTCATCCTTTCACTCTGCTCGATAAGAGGAAGTGGGATCTGGTTCTGTTATTCCTGCTCCCAGCACAGGCCTGCAGAGCAGGCCAGGCTGTCCTCTCATGGACCAGACTGTGGATGTAGAATACCAGGGAGGCAGAGCCAAGATGGCAGGGTCTTGTCTTTGCTCAAACATCCCCAGCTCCTGCAGCTGGTCCCTATGGACTTTTCCTTGACCTCTGACTGAATGAAAGTCAGCCAACATTCAGAAATCCTGTTAGTTACTCTTTTGTTTAGCTGGATCATCCAGGAAGTTAGCAGATGCCATTATTTATATTTGGTACAAAGAACAGGGATGGTGGAATGTACTGGGCATAGCATTCTTATATCTTCTTCAAACCCATTTTAAATTATTTTTTTTATTTAAGTTTTGAGCATTCTTTATATGTTCTGGATAGAAGTTATTTATCACATATGTGTTTTATAAGTACCTTTTCCCTAACTAAAAACCTCATTTTTACTTTCTTTCAAAGAGCAGAAATGGTCTTTAAAATGCAGACAGTTTTAATTTTGATGAAGTCCATTCCATTTTTTTCCCTTACGGATCAACTTTTTTCTTTTCTTTTGGTGTCATATCTACCTTTGCTTAACCCAAAGACACAAAGATTTTCTGTTTTCTTCTAGAAATTTCATAGTTTGAGGGCTATAATCCATTTTGAGTTAAATTTCTATATATGCTACAAGCTATGCATAGAGATTCATTTTTTTGCTTGTGGTTGTCCAGTTCTTCCAACACCATTGGTTGAAAAATGGTGTTCTTTCCTCATAGAATTGCCTTTTCACCTTTGTCAAAATCAATTGGGTTTGTATCCAGACTTGCTGTCCTATTCCATTTATCCGTGTGCGTTTTCTCTCACTGATACCAGACTGTTGAGATCACCATGGTTTTCTAATGAGTTTTAAATCAACTAAAGCAGGTCTTCTAATTTTGTTCTTTGTCAAAGTGTTGGCTATTCTTGTTTTTTTTGCTTACCCATATCAATTTTAGAATTGTCAATTTCGATAAGAAATCCTGGTGAAATTTTGATTGGGATCACGCTGAGTCTCTAGAACAAGTTGGGAAGAATTGACAGGTTAACAAAATTGAGTCTTCCAATCCATGAACATGGTATAGCTCTCCATTTAAGTCTTCTTTGATTTCTCTCCTGATGCTCATTGTGCCTTCCTTCCTTGTCCTCCTTCCTTCCTTCCACCAGCCTCAGAAGGCAGGTTCAGAAGCGTGGCTGGGTGAATGAAAAGAAACCAGCCCTTCGTCCCCTCTTTCAACCTGCATCTCAAGTCCTCCATCATACAGGCCTCAGACAAGAAGGATGTTCCATCTAAATACAGCCTGTCCCAGTAGCCCTGTGGCAGGGCCAGCTGAAAGCTTGTAGCTTGCATGAACTGCTCTTGGTAAAGCGTCCAGGAATCTCCCCCTCCCTGACTCACCGTCAGATGTTCAGTGATGACAGGGTGGCACTGTGCCAGTGCTGAGGTCACTTGTTTTGATTTCTGACATTTCCTGTCTCCTTGTTTTTTTGCATTTCTTTGTCTTTCCTTTTTTCTGTCTTCCTTCTCTGCCTTTCTTTTACCTCAGGCCTGCCATCACATTTTCCATGACACAGGCAGGAAAGTACTTGTAAGTGGGTGACTGGCACAAGACTGTCCAGAGGGCCTCCTTCCTCCTGAGGAGCCTGCAAAGTCAGATACCAGGCTCCTGGTCAGAATCACAGTGCTTGCTGCCACCTTGAGTAGAGGGGGGATCTTGCCCATCCCCCATCGGATGAAGGTGAAAATGCAGGTCAGACAGAATCTTGCGTTCAAACAGGCATGATGGATAAGTCACATCTGTGTCTTAGGGAGTAAGACTCAGGAGCACAGAAGTGTGTTTACTCTTTTCTTAGATTCCTGCCCGATAAGGATTTGACAGGTTGGTTTTTTTCTTCTAAATAAGAGGCCTCAGAGAATATGTAAGAGCTTGAAATGTCTTTAAGGCCCAACTGAGGAGCTTAAGAGAAATCTTATAGTTCATCTGTGCAGTTTCACCTGTAGTCCCCACTACTTTCTGGAATGTCCTTGCCGCCATTTCTCTCCCACCCAGACAGAATAGCCATAGGTTGAGTGGGCCCTGAGGGCGTGTCCCGGTGGCCCATTCCATGCAGCCGCAGCCCCTCACTTCCCAGGGTGCCCTCCCCATCCTGTGCTTCACGGTATGTGTCTCTTCTATCCCCATTTGCCTCCGTGGCCCGGGTGTAGACGCTGACTACAGGCCGCCAGACGATGCCATGTTTGACATCATCACAGATGAGGAGCTGTGCCAGATCCAGGAGTCCGGATCCTCCTTGCCCGAAACACCCACCGAAACTGACTCCCTTGACCCAAACTTGCCTGAACAGTGAGTACACCTTGCCTTTATTTCCTACGTGCTCCCCAAGTGCCTTCTGACTAAAGGACCAGGAAAGTGAGAGTTTGGAAGCAGGATCAGCTGTCTGTGTTTAAGGGAAAGTGCCTCCGAACAGTGCTCGGGACCGTTCTGGAGACTGGAAGGCCAAGGTCAGGGTATCACCAGGGTGGGCTTTTCCTGGCACTTCTCTCCTCGGCTGACAGATGGCCACCCGCTCATTTCCTCTTTACGCCGTCACTGGTTGTGTGCGCACCCTGGCGTCTCTCTGTGTCCTGAGTGTCCTTTAGTACTTACCCTCCGCCGGCCATCTCATCTGTTTTGCAACAAGGCTTTCGAGGGATGGAATAACCATGCACAGTGCCACCCCATTGAAACGTTGGGATTTTGTGCCCAGGGACCTGTAGCGACAGGCCAAGTCCCCTCCGCCTATGGCAGCCTGGCTCAATCTCTCAGCCCCTGGTGTTCAGGCTTAAATGCAGTTTCTATAGCAAAGCACTGGCTCTTCAAAAGCCAAGAAAGAATTTACCCACTTTGCCTCCACTGGGGAGTTTGGTGATGCTCTTGCCAACACCCACATTGAGATCTCTGTCCCTCTTTTCCTGCCCAGAGTTCAGGAGAGCCAGGATTTATCAGGATTTCTGCTGTGTGGGAAGAGAGACATTTAATCCTCATGAAGCTCTCAGGGCAAGAGGGTTTAGGCTGAAGTGTATCCCTCCACTCTCCCCTGTTCTCTGACAAGAGGTGACTGAACCCGCATGTTGTGGCCTCACAGAGAACGCCAACACGATCACCCAGCCCTTCAGCCCCGTGCACTGTTGCTTCCAGAATTTTGGACCTCGCCTTTTCCCTCCCAGAAGCCCTGCCTCCCCTTCTGAAGCCCCTCCACCCTCCACCCACCACATAGCCTTCGACATTCTCCTGGGGGCCTGCTCTGTTCCAGCAGCCCCAAGTCAGTCTGCCACTATCACCTGGTCACCGTACTCCCTGCCAGGTGGCTGGCAGGGAAGGGAGCAGGGCCAGAGCCTCAGTGACCCCCCCGCAGCTCCCTGTCTCCTTCATCCCTCACCTTCCCCTTTCCCAGTAAGAACAAACACAGAAGGCTCTCTGACCGCTGACACGTAACTATGTTTTGGTGCTTGGAAATTGGGAAGTGTTCCAGGGAAAGGAAACTGCCAGCATGCCGGCCTGCGGCCTCCAGGGTGGATCTGGGGCTGGCGGACAGGAGCCCGCAGGGCCTGCACTCCGTCTGTCAGGGGCCAGTCAGCTAAGGGCCTGCACCCTCTTTGTGCGTTAGAGAAGACCCCGGGGTCTCTGGCAGGTCTCTCGTACGTTCCTTTTCTTCGTGAGTTTAAGACCAATCAGAAACACCAGGACTCCTAAGAAAGCGCGAGTGGTCTAGAGCCCTGGGTTTGCATAAGCCTTCCTGACAGGAAACTTCGGGAAAGAAATGAGCAAGTCCAAAGCAGGAAGTGAGCCAGAAGGGATTAAGTGCCCTGTGTGTCCAGGTCCCCAAGGGAAAGCAGGCCGCTTGGTAGCAGTGTTGTTGAAAATGACCGTCCGGCCCCTTCCCTGTGCCTGCCGCGTCTAGATGTGGTCCCGCTCAGTCGCTGTCCAACCTTCCAGGCCAGGGACGTAATGCCCTGGAAGCCTCCGGAGGCCAGATAAGCTGCTCTGGGTCACGTGGCTGTAAGTGTCAGGGCTAGGCTTGGAGCCCAGAGCTCCTCCCTCCGTCCAGGGGCCATAGGTCTGTTCTGAAGAGTTCAGTTCTCTTCTCGGGGTCCCACTTCCCCATCTGCACATCGGAAGCCTGCCCGCCCCCGCTTGCCTGTGTCCACTCCTCCCCACGTGGACACATTCTTAGGCTAATGAAGTTCTCTGCCTCGGCCCTCCCGGCACAGGGAGGGGACAGGGGGGTCCGCACACTCCTGAGCAGCCGCCCACCAGCGAGGATGGTGGCAAGAAAGAGAAGCACTGCCCTTCCCCTGGGGAGAACAGCTGGCTTTCTTCAGAGCCCTCCAGGCACGCCTGTTCGCACCTGCTCCCCGAGCTCAGCCATGCCCACCCTGAGCCTTCTCCATGGACCACGTGGTCCGTCTGTGCTCAGGACTCAGGTGGCAGGACAGACAGACAGAAAGCTCTTCTCGGCCCGTAGCAGGGCTGGGCCCTGGGTCTCTGGGCTTCTGCTCAGCCTTCATCCAGGCCTGGCCTCTCCTTCTGGTTACCAAACAGACCGTGTGAGGTCAAGCGCAGAGCCCAGGGCCTTGCGCCTGGGAAGCCTTCCACAGAGACGCACTGGGTCTGTCATGCTCCGCGTGCATCGTGGTGTCAGGGGCTGAGCTGTGTGCCCTGTCCCCAAGGAAGACCGCTCGGATACCCAGTGATACTGAGCCAAACTCGTAGAGACTGTCCCTGCGCCTCCAAGCCCCTTTGCCAGTAGTTGCCCTATGAGCAACGATTCTCGGTCCCAGGGCTTTGCAGGGGCTCTGGTGGGTTTGTCACCTGCCAGGAGATGTGATGCCTGCATCTCAGAAACAACATGAGAACAGGATATGGTGAGGATGGTTACGGTTAGAAAGCCGTCTGTGCTTGGGGTGGGGCAACCCAGCATCTCCCCCTGGGTGAGGACTACAGAGCTGGCGGTACGTCGAGTCCATCAGCTGTAGGAAACCTCTACTGGCCCACAGAGGGGCTGCTCCCTGGGGTCCTAGCCCTCGCTCTGCTGGGGGAGCTCCAGCAGGTGGGCCTCTCTCTGAACTAGTGTCCTCACCAGAAAAATGGGTATGGTAGCACCAGGCCTCCCCCCAAACAGCACTGGGAGTTACCCCAGACTTCAGAGGACCGGGTTCCCAGAATGGGCGCTGCCTTGAGGGGCCATTGGTGGAGAAGGTCAGAGCGAGCACCCCCTCCACTCCTGGACCCCGTGCTCCCTGCCCTTCCTCCACCCTGCCACCCACAGGGGCAGCTTCAGCCCTTTTGTGCCTCCGTCCGGAATGCCTACCAAAATCACCTGGGCTTCTGGCTCCCAGGCAGCCCCTGGAATCAGGGTCCCCATATGCTCCCCATGTCTCAGAGTGTGTGGCTATCCAGGGCCTCTAACCACCACCCCCCACCCCCACTGCCCCACAAAATGCTGGGAACATGGTGGGGGAGGAGCTTACCCTCGGGCCCTGAGGCCACCCTCAAGGCAGCCCGGCCCCCTTCTGCAGTCCCCCACCTGTACCCCATCATGTGCTGGTATGTGTGTGAGCAGAGTCAAGGGGAGGAGCCCAGCAGGGTTGAGGCTGGGAACTTGTCCTTCTTGGGGCTATTAGGTGAACAGAGCAGTCAAGACATAAAAAGTGCTCTATCTGTAAGCTGTGTGGGCTATGCCTGCCTCTGTAGGCAGCGGTGCAGGGTCCATAGCAGAGGGCTTGGGAAAATTTCTGCTCTCGGGTGTAGCAGATAAGGGCCCAGAGATACAGGCATGATGAGTGACTGAGGATCCAGAGAAGGTAAAGGAAGAGTCCATGGCTGTGCTCTCCTGGGTTTTCCTAAGCTACAGAAGGAGGGGCACAGCCTTTCTGCAGGGATCCTGGAGAGGGCATGTAACACAGGCCTGGGATGGGGCATGGCCTGATGGGCACCTGGTCTTGTTTGGCTCAGCCTGGCAGGCCCCTGGTTAGGAAGAAGCCAGCAGCCCCCGCAGCTGCCCCTCAGTTACTTTGGACCGGCAGCCCCCAGCTTGACTGTGCAGGCCTCATGAGCACTCCTAGAGGGAAGCAGGGAGGGAGGGAAGGGGTGGTGTGGATGGTGAACGGGCCTTGGGGAGGCAGAGTACCATGCCCAAGGATGCACAGTCACTGAGCCAGCGTCCGGGTGACCCCAGAGCCCTGCCGTCCCCGTCACACCACACTGCTTCCCTTGAGGTCTGCAGGGCCCCTGGCTTCCTGCCTCTTCATGTCCTCCTTTCCAGGTAGGGCCTCTGTCTCGTTCTGGGGAAGCCAGGGGCTGGGGGCCCCACTCTCAGCTGGGCTAAACCAAGGACGAACTCACCAGGTCTCCCACTTGGAGACCATTTATGTTTTGTCCCTGGTTGGTTTTTTTGTGTGGCTTTTTGTTGTTTGTTGTTTTGTTTTAGTTTTTTGTGGGTTTTTTTGTGAAGCCAATTTAAAGACGATAAAGGTCAGCCTTGTCACCATCGAAAGGGCAGATTTTGTTGAGCGAGAAGGCTCTCGGTCCACATGGCCCACGGACACTGGAGGCAGCTGCTCCCGCAGGTGCATTTAGGCGTGAGCGGGAGACAGTAGGGAGGGTCGCGTGGGCCTGATTAGGTCTGGCCCCTTGCACTGCTGGACCAGGCTATGGGGCATGTCCCCCACGGCCTCGGATGTACGAAGCACATGCTCCCGCGCCTTGGCAGCTCACAGAGGACGACCTGCGGCCTCGGTGTGTCGCTGGTTTTCCTGCCGCCATTGCTATCCTTGCCGCCCCTCCCCCTGCCGAGCACACAACGTGCTGAGCGCACTTTGTGCTCTTAAACCCAAGTCCCCCACACGCCAGCCCCCAGAGGCGGGCGCCAGGACGGCCCACATTTCACCAAAACAGAAGAGGTTAAAGGGACTGCCGACCAGTCTAGCCAACAGATGAGAGCTGGAGCTGGGATTCCACTCTGGTCTGTGCGGACCCCAGAGCCACACCACTGAGCCAGGCCCACGCCCCCTCCCCCACCCTGTGCACCCGCTTTCACCATTGGCGATTGGTTCTTTCCATTTTGGTGAGTGGTTTTGGGAAGCATGAGCCAAAAAAAGCAACTTTGCCTACTGAGCAGATTGCTAGGATCTAATATACTTACTCAAGTGTGTGACATTCCGAATGGCCTTATCCTCTGACCGTATCACGGTGGTTACACGAACGCACTTCACAATTTGGTCAGGAGGTTGCAAGCCACAGCGGAGGAGGAAACACTGGTATATTCCATTGCCTTGATAGAACAGTGCCTTAAAGTATATAGTTTTAACTCGTTTCCTATGCTTCGAGTCCCCAGAATAATCACTTTCCTGTATGTTCCACACATACCACGTTAAAGTAGAATGTGCCTGAGGATAAGCATCATTTAGAGACTTTTAAAAAGGTTTTATTTCTTTGTCATGAAAATCATATACTATTTGACACAGGCGTGTTTGTGTTCTATATACACCAATAACATGACTTACATATGTGAGAGTGTATCAGGCGTTGAACTATTGGAGTTTTTAAACGAGCAAACCCATCAAAGAATCCATTTCAGAAATGCCACTTCGACTCAAAATCGTCTTAAACTCCGCTTTGCACGTTTTCCTAACCTTCTCTGGACCCCTGGAATCCTCAGCTGACTCATTTGTTAAGGGCCCATTCATGTTCTCTGGTGTCCCTCCCTCTGGGATTAATCAAAGAGAACATAGGCATTTCTATAAAGCCCAAGCCTAAGGGGAGGCAGAGCCCATCTCATTTGTGTCCGGTGCCTACTGACTTAGGTCCCAGCCATGTGGCCCGGCACTTGTTTTCATGGCCTCCCTAAGCTCCGTGCTTCCCAGTGGCCAGAGGAATGTTCCGGACTGGGGAGCCCGAACCATCACCTGCCCTAAGCAGCTGTGTGGCAATGGTCCCCTCTTCAGCCTTCAGCCCCAGTCGCCATGAAGGAGAACCTGAGGTCTTAAGGTTCACACATCATTCCCTTGGAGCCAGCGTTCTTGGGCATAGAGGAGGGAAAGCCCTTCCAGTTTTTAGAGCTTCCCCCCAACACACACTGAGCTTCAGGCCTGGGGGTCTAAAGGAAAGCGGAATGTGTTCATGCCCGAGAAGCAGTGTCCCACACCAGCTGCAGGGTTCGGTGACTTCTCCATGAGAACGCACGAGAACACGAGCCATAAACAAAGCCTTCCTCGTTGCACCCAGAGCGCACAGCCGTGCTCCCGAGCAGCTCTCCGGGCCCGGGGAAGGCCTACAGCTGGAACATGCTGGTGGCCTCCACGTTGTGAGAGGCAGAACAGGTCTTGGAAGCCTCCTCGGAAGACTTCCATGGACCTGAGACACCCAGGTAAGGGAGACAGCCAATGTCCCTCATGAGTTTCCAGAAGTTCCTCCGAAACTTCAGGCCAACAAAGGCGTAGAGCACGGGGTTAAGGCAGGCCCGCAGGTAGGCGATGGCCTCTGTGATGATGATGGCGTAGTGGAAGCTGGTCATGGTGGAGTACTCCCAGCTCGTGCTATGGATGAGCTTCACGAGGTTGAAGGGCGTCTGGGTCAGTAGGAACACAGCCACCACCAGGAAGATGATCTTCAGGGACTTGTGCTTCCGGAAGCCTCGGGCGTGAAGCAGGGTCTTGATGATGACCGAGTAGCACACCATCATGGCGAGCAGGGGCAAGAAGAACCCCAGCGTCATCTGGGCGGCGAGAACTACAGTGGAAATCTCTTCATTGTGATAGCCACAGACAAGCTTGTCGAGGTCATGGACGTTGCCGTAGATGATCTGTGGCAGAGAAACCAGCAGGGAGATCACCCAGATAAGCAAGCACATGGCCTTGCCCCAGGCCATCCGCCTGGCCTGCTGGTTGTAGGCCTTGGTGGCCCGAACCACCGCAACGAAGCGGTCCATGGTGATGCAGGTGAGAATGAGCATGGACGTGTAGAAGTTCAAGGTGTAGATGCCCAGCAGGGTCTTACACATGACTTTGCCGAAGACCCACTCGTGGATGCTGGCATAGGCCCAGAAGGGCAGAGTGCAGACGAACACCAGGTCAGCCAAGGGCAGGTTCATCAGGAACACGTCGGTCAAGCTCTTCAGCTTCTGGTAGGAGACGTACACAATCAGCACCAGCGAGTTCCCCAGCAGGCCGCAGACGAACACCACCAGGTACACGGAGGGCAAAAAGAACTTGTGGAACTCCAGGAAGCGTTCGTGCCCCTGGCTGCTGTCATTGGAAGTGTTGAAGAACACAGGGTCGACGTAGTCATCCTCCATGGCGCGCGTTCCCGTGAACGCCTGGGAGGCAAACACAGCAATTATAGACGGGGCCCAGCGCGACACTCCTGTTCTCCTGCAGTCCTGTTGCCCCACTTTTAGGGAGCAGGTAGTCCGTTCCAGAACCCACCTATGTTCTGCTCAGCGACAGCACAGTCCTGTGTACTGAGGGGGTGGTTGCTCCAACGGCATGAGGGACCCTTAATTAGCCCTTAAGTCATAAGGCTCGCACCCACCTGGGAGACAACATGTAACCACCCCATGCACAGCCCAGAAAATCCGGTGCGCTGGTCTCGAAAGCAAAGGTCCCCGTGTGGTAGGATGGGGATGGTGACCTTCTGGAAGTACAGAACTGCTTTGTGGTGGGCAGGCTTGCCTTCATCTGCCCGTGCTGTGCCTCGCTTTCTGTTAAATTAGAACCCCGAACTGCTCTCTGTGGAAGCTAAGGTGCGTATCCCCCCACTGAGCGGGGGGGGGGGGGGGGGCGGGGAGGGGGGCTCTATTGAGGAGACCTCCAGACACCAGAAGGGGTTTGGAAGTTGACCAGAACTTCTCTGCCTGGGTAGACAGTCTATCCTGTCTCTTCTCACCCTCCACTGCCTGGATTTAGGTGTGCAAGAAACCAGGCATGGTGGTGGAGCCGGCCACAGCCAGCCCAGCCTGCCCCTTATCACCTGGCACGCCCTGTTCCACCACCAGAGCCTGGCTTCTGGAAGTCTTCCTCATCTTCGGGAATCTTTTGAAAGGAACCCTTTCCCAGAAGGGAACATTACTTTAGCTGGTGTGACTGGCAGCTTAGGCCCAAGGGGACTCATTTAACCAGTGGAAGATCTGGTTGAAATGGGATGCCAGATGGGCTCCTACAGGGGGTGCTGGGTCCAACCTCGCAGCGAGGTTTGTAGCAACAACCAGAGAGCCGCCTTTCCTGCCCGGGGCTCCCAGCCTTTCAAGGCCATCCCTTCCCTCTGCCCCCACGACTGTGCTGAGGACCACAGACAGGACGTGAGGGTGAGGTGCTGTGGTGTGGGAGCAGGGGCAGCTGTGGCAGGGCTTCGGGCCACTGGTCTGCAGAGACTCAGCACACAGTGCGGCTCACCACTGGTCACCCAGGGCCATATCCTGCTAGAACCTTAAGAAGTCTCCAGAAAAACAGGCATTTGGTTTAGCAAAGTCAGAACATCAACTGGCCAGATGAGGGCCTGTCCAAGGAGAGATCACGTTCTCCTTTTCTAATCTACTCGAAGACTTTTTGTCCTGCCTGGAGATGCTATCAGCCTTGGCACTGCCCCCTCGGTCCTCGTGGGGACAGAGCGCCCTTCTCTCCAAGGAAGGACCTCGCTTCTAGGATGCGACTGCTCAGTGAAAGGTCCCTGCTCTTAGACCAGAGAATGTGCGATGTGGGAGGGTGACAGGCCATCCGGAGTCCTCAGGCCCCACCAGCTCTGCGGGCTGCTGGGTTAAGTAGGTCAGGTGAGGGCATGTTTGTGTTACTGCTTCATCGCTTGGACAACAAAACAAGCGGCTTTGCTCGCCTTCAGAGTAATTATCAAGTCTCCATTCCTGCCTGACTTACCCTTGCCTGTTTATAGAAAATCCTATTACAGCTGCTGCTGGCACATTAATACTGATGTTAACTAGCTTCCCAAAGGGCCCATGCAGGTCCATTTGTACTAAGTTATGTTATGCTGGACAGATTGAGGCTGCACAGTTCTGTGCAGATAGACTAAAAATTAGTTTCCTTTTGGGGCGCCTGGATCTGTTAAACATCTGACTCTTGGTTTGGGCTCAGGTTGTGATCTCAGGGTTGTGAGATGGAGCCCCACGTCCGGCTCCCCACTCAGCATGGAATCTGCTTGGGATTCTCTCTCCCTCTGCCCTTCCTCCCTGCTCGTGCATTCTTTCTCACTGTCTCTAAAATAAATGGGTAAATCTTCTTTTAAAAAAATCAGTTTCCTTCTAGACATGTTAAAATCACTCATTTCTTTATCTTTAATAGCCAAAGTCCTATGTTGATTTATGCAGGGTTCTTTAATTTAAAAAAGAAGTAATACATTCAACTTTGGAAGCAGTGCAAATGTCTAATAATAAATAAATTAGCAAATTGCAATTCAGACATAAAATAGAACACAACTCAGATGTTTAAGAAGTGCTTTAAATGGTTCTGGAGAAAGCACTACATGGACACGACTCCCAGCCTCCGAGGCACAAAGTCAATGTGCACCGTTAGCCTTGGCTGTTACTGCCACAATGAACAGATGACCAAAGGGGTATAAAAGTGGTCATGGTGCTTAACTTTGATCGCAAACCCTTTGAGAGTCTTCTGAAACTGCAGACATTTTCCTCAGAAGTAACGTGCCTACCTGCCTTTCGTTCCAAGGGCTGGTGAGCCCTTTGAGTCCCTCTTCCACGTATTCTGTAGACCCTTGTTTAAGAATCCACGATGGCGGGGCACCTGGACAGCTCAGTCAGTAAAGCGTCAGACCCTTGGCTTCGGCTCAAGTCATGATCTCAGAATCCTGAGATCAAGCCCCACGTGGGGCTCTGTGCTGGGTGTGGGGAGCTTAACATTCCCTCTCTCCTCTTCTCTCTCTTCCCCTCCCCCCCCCCCAAAATTTAAAAAAAAGAAAGAATCCACGATAAGTTTTGTGATTTTGATGATGTATATATTTATATTTATATATTTTAAAGTAGGTTCCATGCCCAAACGTGGGACTTGAATCACGACCCTGAGATCGAGAGTCAAATGCTCTACCGGCTGAGCCAGCCAGTAAAAACAACAAAAATGCCCAGAGTTTTTCAGCAGTTTGCCTCTAGCTGTGAATTCGTGAGGATTTATTTCCTTTCCCCCTTTATGTTTGTCTATCTTTCCGAAGTTTTTACAGTGGTCTGTTGACTCACATTGGGAAAAGAAACGAGACAATCATCTGAGAGCCTGTGTTCTAAATTATAATGCAAAAGAAACGAAAACCAAGAATCAGAGATTATTCAGTGAACAGATGTGGCCAGTGGCTAGACTCTCCCCGTCTCCCTGGGAGGGCAGTACCAATGCCATCAGCTTATGAGCTCTCTGTGCCCAGAGCTGTGCTAAGTCACTTCACAGTCCTCTGGTCGTGGGGCGGAGGTGGAATCCGAACCAAGAGCAGCTGAGCCCTAAAGCCCGGGCATTTTCCCCCGACCCTGCACCGCAGGCAGGGATCAGAGGACCCCAGCAGCCTGAGGTTACTACCTGCCTTTTAACTCTATAAAGAAGAAGATAAATGACTCACCGGCGAAGAGACTCTGTCAGTTTGTCCTAGAAGTGAGCTCATTCGAAGCAGCAAGGTCTGCCTCTGTCTCTCTGTGATGTGGTCCGTGTTTCCGTTGACTGTCTTCTGAGAGCCCTTGGTTGGTGATCATAAGAGACCCAGCCCTACCCACCCCTGCCTTGTTCATCAGAATCCACGTGACCAGCCTGCATCTGTGTAATTTGGGGGTCAGAGATAGGAAGCAGTGGCTCTCACGTCCTGCGCTCCCTGCTGCCTGGCTATGGACGTAATCACCTGTCAGGACCTCAGAAGGTTTTTATTTGTAAATGAAGGGGGACAAGAAGTAGGTCTGGCTTAGGCAGCCCACTGAAGACTCATGGCATTTGTACCGTGACATCATTTCCTTCACTAATCATGTCTCTTTGGAGCCGTTGGGGCCTGGAGCAATGCAAAGTCCATGTTGTACCCCAAGTTCGGGGTATGCATGCTGCTCCCGCATGACAGCTCCGGAACCTCACAGCAGCCCTGCATGGGTACTGTCCCCATTTTACAGGTGGAAACACTGAGGGCCCTGGCCGAAATGGACAGCCCCGCATGCACACAGCTAAAAACTGGCACTTCCAGGAAACAAACTGAGGTCTCTCTCATCTCCAGAGCACCAGAGGGCTCCTAGGGGACAGGTCAGCCAGACAGACAACTAAACCCACATGACCCAGAGTCCTCTGGCTCCCTGAAGCTGTCCTCACTCTTGGAACACCCCAGGTACTGACCACCAGGTGAAAACACAGTTCTAGTTGTTGGTCTCCCTGCCCCAGGAATGCTGATGCTTCTGGGGAAGAACGCCGCAGAAAGTGGGAGCTAGAGGGACGCTGAGGGCAGGAGCCATGAGACTCTGTAGAGTGCGCACCTCTGGACAGGTGGTAGGTGGACCCAGGGGCCGAGGGACGACGAACAAGTGAACGGGCCAAACCAAATACTGCAGGGCTGCAGGCCAAAGCACCCATCCTCTGAAAGAGACCTTCTAAGGCAAGACATCCCTTCGGAGCGAGCCACCCTTTCCTTTTGGAACCTCTTGCACTTTGAGAGATGAGCTTTTCCTAGCTTTTCCACTTGGGGTCAGTTCCCAGAACAGAGTTAGAACAGCCTGAGCCTTGTCAAACATGTTCACATGACTAGGACTTTGTGGCTTGGAAGGACAAGCACTTGTACTCCGTGGGAAGCAACAGGCGTCGCCCTGGCCGCCTCCATGACCATGTGTGGGCTCACGGGGTGGGGGTGGGGGGACAGGTTCGTGTGTCTGAGAAAGCATGGCTGCATTTGGCATCACCGTTCTCCGGCGGAAAGTTCTCCGGTGGAAGGCTTGCAGCCAGACCAGAGGAGGAGGAGGGAGCCACTCACCCTCTGGGGGCCAGAAGCTTATTTCAGCCACTTCACCTAGTGCCAGTGTTATCTTCTTATCTGCCATTTCGTAGCACTCAGTATTTCAAGGGCATTGCTTTTCTTTGAAACAAAACTCTGAACTTGTCAAGGGCAACAGCCCAGTCACATATCTTAGATTTCCCCTGGAATACTCAAACGTTTTCTAACTAGAACTGGGGGAAGCCTAGATGGGAAGCAGCAGCCACACCCGTTGCGGGTTTATCTTGAAGTCAGAGTGTGCTGACCTGCCCACTTTTCCAGAACCCCTGATGTTCCTGATGCAGAGAGTCAGGCGGGACGTCAGTCTCAGGACCCAGGATGGAGGCAGTTCCTGCTGCTGGCAGAAGCCTTGGTGCAAAGCGCTGGCGGCTGATGGGGACCGTGGAGGATGAGTTTGGACTAAAAGCCTCAGAAAAAGAGCCCAACCAGAAGGTAGCTCCGACCAGAGCCAGGTTGGCGTGCCCGGTGCTGCCTGGCTCTTGGTTCTGAGGCTGGGCATGTGGGCTTGGGTATTGTGGTCAGACCATGGTTACTAAGTAATCAGAAATCAAAATACCAGAAGTGCTCTTCATCACTCGGGTTTTGAAAGGCAAAAAGGAAGCCAATGACTGAAAGAAAAACCACCAGGAACTTACTTTTAAGAGTCGAATGGGAAAACGCCCCCAGAGCCCATAGAGAGTGGGCTCAGCACCACATTCCGAGCCCGTGCCGCTCAACTGGCACCGTCCGCGAGGACAGGCCTGTCCTGGGTCTGCACCATCCCACTCGGTGGCCCTTGAGTCCCTGCGGTGGGGCCGATGCCACCAAGAAGCCAAATGGTTCGCTTTTCAGAACATTGTGATGGGTCTGAGTTCGGGCGGCCCCATGAGGCTGGTGGCTGTTGTACAGGGCAGGCTGTTGTAAACATAGAGCCGTCTGCTGACCGCGCCGGCCGGGGGACCCTGGGTAGTCGGGCGAAACGGCCCTTCTCATCCTGCTGCTTGGTGAAGCCGAGGAGCAGCTGGAGCCCTCCGAGGAAGGCGGTCAGCAAGACGCGCGGGCCGGGGGGCTTTCCTAGGCATCTTTTCTTCCTCTGCCGACCCCAACAGCCTAGGATCTGCACCACCCCCACCCTGGGTAGTCTGCAGGGCTGAGGTGGTACCGTAACTACATGAAGAAGTAGCTGAGACATTTCGATTTGTGAGAGGGAGCTGTTGTAGATTCCAGCCGTGGAGACCAAGCCAGGGGACCCCGCCCCGTCCCCCGTGACCCCTCATCCAGGCCGGCATGGACCCCTTCACTGCATTGCTGGGGACTGGCTCAGCATCCGCCTTGTCCGCGGACACCACTTTATCCCCACGTGGTTCTCAAGTGGAGCCTTGTTTAGGTCCTCCGTTTGGGGACTTGTGGGACAGAAAACCAGCTCACCGTCGGGCACGTAATCTGGACATTGACTGATCCTAGACAGTGTGCGGGGCAGGATCTCTGGGGGTGCTGGAATGACCAGCCCCAGACGTGTGCACCCCAAGACAAGGTCAGCTCTCCTGACCCCGGGCTCAGGGACGGGAGCTCAGCAAAAGAGGGTGACATGCCATCAGCCGTCACCATCGTCAGCTGGAGGCTCACATGGCCAGAGCAAGGGGAGGAAGGAAGGGCGCTGTGGGCACCGAATGGGTCTCAACGTCTCAGGAAAGCCCCCCAGTGGCAACAGAAGGAAATGGTGCTGGCAGGAAAGAGGGTGCCCCCTAGTGGCCGTGCTTTTGTTCCCCGTCCTTCCCAAGCTAGTTTTCCGTCTGCAGAGCCCTGTGGTAAGATAGGCCTTTTACCTGACTACCCAGGGGCATGCATGGGGACACGAAAGCAAAGCAGGAGCCCCGTGACGCAACACTGCCCCTGACAACACACAGTATACTGTTGCTTAGGCATTTTCTATTCGACTTCTAGTGTGGGTCATGGCTTCCTAAATTGGCTTGTGACCCACTCAATGGGTCGTGACCCACGATTCGAGAAGCCATCGAGAAGAAACCCCTGTGCCTCTAATCCTTACCCTCGGCACACATCACCCACCCACGCCCGCCTCGCTCAGGGGCCTTAGCCAGGGCCGGGAGAGGCTGGGGACCTACCCTGGGAAGCACCTACTTACAGGTAATGAGGACTTGTCTGTCATCATGGCCAGAGAGGGGGAGCTGGAGGAGGAGAGGGAGTGACGGGTTCCGACGTCTTTTCTCCTCTGTGCCGGAGAAGGCGAGAGAACCAACCACAGCTTCAGAGCCTGTTCCGTCGAATGTTACTTATCTTCCTCTCATACGGTGTTTGCACTTTGCACAAGGATGAAGGCAAGTGACCTGAGGCAGGCCTAAGTACATCTTGGCTCCTCAGGCTCCCATATCTGTGGCCGTCAAGTTGGGGGGGGTGGTAGGTTGATCCCTTGAACAGCGTCTCACACTGACTTTCTGTGATTGTGTTTATCCTGGGAGAAGGAGGGGGGATCTGGAGGCCCGTGGTCTCAAGAGCCATGGGAGGAGGTGAGCAGGGAGGAGGTCAAGGACTGGGCTGGGGAGGAAGAGGAACAAGGAGGGACGGGGCTTGCCCTCAGTGGCAACAGGCAGGTCAGGTGTGTTCTTGGTGCACCCTCCTTGGGAAGCCTGGAGAAGGCCAAGGGAAGAATCCTTTGGAACCTACTGCTCTTTTCCAGCTAAGCATTGAACTTGGAGCAGAGCCTAGAGTCCATCTGATTCCATCTCCTTCTCCCACGTAGAGAAGGGACAACCTCAGAGGAGGGACGGGCACCTAGAGCCACAATTAGTCATAAACCCAAGACTGGAACCACCTGGGAGTGAGGACACCACTGAGATCCACACAGCCTCTCCTGCCCTTGGGAGCCCCAGGGAGCTCCAGCTGGACAGACGGATCCCCCAGTGCTTGGGGCTCCCTGTGCTCAGCCCCCTAAGGGTGGGGTGTTTGTGAAGATGGGCTCCCCCACTTACAGTGGGCTGAAGGCGCCTGCCCAGACATCCCCAGCCAGGCAGTGAGGTGCCAGTGGGTGTCTGGTGATCCCATAGCCCTGGTAGCTCCCCATGCCAGCCCCCACCACCGCCCCCTTACAGCTGTGCCCTGACAGCAGAGTCTCACCTCCCAGTGGCCTCAGCATGACAGCAGATGGGGATGGGGCAGGGACAGGGGAGCTGAATGGCAGAGAGACTGCTGGGCCTGGTGGAGAGCAGGCATGACATCGGGCCTGGTCCAGTGACACCCTGTCTTGTGCTCAGAGCTTTCCCAAGAGGACAGAGGCCTCTCCCTGGGCATTGCCCGTCCCTCTCCGGGCAGAAAGACCTTGTAAGTCTGCGGTGGGTGTGCCGCTGCTGACCCCGTGTCTGCCACTCCATGCAGGGCTCGGAGGGTCCTTATCCTTCAGGGACCTGGCCTCTGTTCTCTCTTTGGCTTTGTCAGCATTCCTCTGCCCTTTTCCGAATTTCCACGTGCTTCTTAGCACGTGGCACGTACACTGTTTGGTTCCTGCAGGTGGCAGGGGCCGAGTCGCTGCGTGCCAGTCCTGCAGGGTAGGGACAGCTCAGCTGCTGCCCACCCCTACTTCCAAATGATTCTCAGTCTGGGGGAGACAACACCCAAAAGAGCTAAGTATGGCCTGGCGTAAGGAGGGCTATGACAGACTGGGGGCCGCAGAGGTGAGCGGGAGGGAGGAGCAGGCCAGATGGGAGCGGGCTGCAGGTGGCCACGTGTCGGCCCCAGTCGCAGTCGCAGCCCCAGACTAGTGGCACGGGACTATACCTGCCGGCGCACTGAGACACAGTGACACATGGGAGATCTTCCCGCCTCCACAGCAGAGTGACAGCTGGGATGGACTGAGGGGAGACTCACTGAATTTTGCCTGCTCTACTCTCCCGCTTTCTGCCACCACACGGAGGGCCCCCAGGGCCTCACGTGGACGTTCGGGTTCTCCTGACTGAGTGGGGAGCCTTGGGCTCAGATGCGGGACGTGGACTGTGGTAGACCATCTGTAGCCTCTCCCTGCAGGCAGGTTGGACACTCCGACCCGTTGAGGGCAGTGAAATACGAGCAGCAGGTACCGGGGACCCCTTCCCAGCAGAGGTGACAGCTGCCGCTCCGGGCAGAAGCTCCATGAGCAGCAGGGTGCGGCCGCTGGGCTGCCCTGAATCTCCGGTGTCCGGGGGATGGTGTTAGGTTAGGTCCTGAGCTCATGCGAGCGCAGGAATTCACCGGGAATCCTACAGAGCCCGTCCCAGGCGTGGCCATGGGTGGTGCGCCACGCAGCCCGGACAGCGCTGTCATATTCCAGCAGAAGTCACAGCTGCACTCCCAGGGGCGCCATGAACTTGGTGCCCAAGTGGGTGTGAAGGTGGCGGAGGCAGAGCCGTCTGAGCACGAGGTCTGGATGCTTGCTGCTGGCCACCGACCTTTTCTGGGCTGCTCTGTGTGTGTGTGTGTGTGCGTGTGTGTGTGTGTGTGTTGCTGACTGAGAACGTTTGCTGGGAGTTGGGGGGGCATGCCTGCACAGTGTCCAGCACACACCTGGGCAGACATCTCTGGGCACCACAGTGTGGGGGGGGGGGGCTGGACTGCGTTCACTCGAGTTCCCTTGGGGGCCTCAGAAGTCAGGCGAGTGTCTCCGGGGCTGATCTGGTGAGAGCCCAAAGGGTACCTGTCAGGGGAGGGAGGGAGGGAGGCATTGACCTCCCCCCAGAGACATGTTGGGAGACTCCTCTAGGGCAGTTGAGAAGGGGTTATTGTGACATTGAAAAAGCTACACTAGGTGGGAGATGTTCCTTGTTAACAGTTGTCCATGAGGCAGATGGTTCTTTTCTGGACTCCGTTTCCCCTGCCCAGGCCTGGGCACTCGAGCTGGTTGGGCTTGAGGCCCCTGAGATCACACAAGCCCACTGGCTGAGCCAGCATGGGCCTCTGGCTGGATCGGTGGTGAGCTGGAGTCCGGGCGTGGGGCACCGGCCTGCGTCTCCAGAGCTGCCTGGGCGCCCGTGTCCCCGTCAGTGAAAAGGGGGGACTGCAGTCTGCCTTCCCAGAGTAAGCAGTTCAGTGAGCATTTGAAACGTTCCATGACGGAATAAACACACGAACGCTGGAGTTCAAGTCCAGTAGATGTCTCTGCTGCCGGGCCTCCTAGAGCCTCAAACTCACGTTGCCGTGTGCTGGGGCTCTCTGAGAGGGAGCATATGGTGCCCTCCGCCCCTGGCCCTGGCGTGTCCCACCTCCCACCTGGAGCACGGCGGGAAGCATGGCGTGTCTGCGCTGCCGACTGGCCCCGCTGCTGGCTGTCGGTGCAGCTGACCGTGGGTGGTGAGCGAGAGAGGCCAAGTGGCTTCGTCCCACTGCTCCCTCTCGGCCCATGCTGTTTCCCGGGTGTGTGTCCTTCTCCCCAGAGATGGGCCAGAGCAAGCTTGCTGGTCCCGGCCAGGCGCCGGCCAGGCCCGACCCTGGGACACTGCTAATGGTGTTCCACTGGCGTGGGACAGGAGGGTGGCCCATCTGAGTTGCAGGCAGCCCCTCCCCATGGCCACCGGAAAGACCCTAGAGACCTCGTGGCAGCCCTGTTGGGTTCTCCCAGTCCTGCCTGCTCAGCCCTGGCCCCTCTGCTCCTACCTGCTGGACCCTCTGCCATGGCCTCTGGGACTGAAGGACCCTGAGCATTCTGAGTTTGGCTACACGGCTCCAAGGCTGGGGGCCCCCAGGATGTGGGACTCTGTGTGCCAATGGCTAAATGGCTGTGTGTTCTTGTGGGTGACATTCCAGGGACACCATGTCAACCTCGCTAACCCCTGAGGACACTGAAGACATGCCGCCAGGACAGGATGCTGAAATCTGCTTGCTGAAGTCTGGAGAGCTGATGTAAGTGACAGGTCTCCGAGCAGGACTCCCCAGGCTGTCACTATAGGGGAGGAGGAGCTGGAAGCACCCCAGAGGCTCTGACTTGGCACCAATGGTGGCTTCTTGTCTGTCCTTTTTTTTTTTTTTTTTTTTTAGTACAATTTATGTAAGGTAAATTCCCCCTTTATGTGCACAGTGTTTAGATTCTGACAAATAATACAGTGTAATCATCCATCGTCCTGTCAACCTCCCAGCCCAGCTGGCTGCATGTCCTAGTTGTGCCAGAAACAGGAAGGTCCCAGGTCCAGAAGAGAACAGTGTCGCCCCCATGTGACCTCAGTGAAGACCGAGAGCAGGTCCCTCACCCTCCGGAGCTCCCCATGCCCCCATAGCCATCCCTTCCTCATGCCTCCTGTACCTTGTGTGCTGCTTTTTTGAAAATAACTTTGTTTTGTTCTCTTACTGTAAGAGCAGTACCTTTTCATTGTAAAAAAAAAGAAAGAAAAGAGAGACAAGCAAACTGCTTCAGTGTAGAGCCTTCCAGTTTTTAAAAATACGTATGTACATCATTTTCTATACAAAGAAAATATTCTGCATCTTACTTCATAGTCTTTTAAGACTTATGACTGTGTGAGTATTTTCTTGTATCCTGTTCTTTCTCTCCTGGGTTGTGACTAATGGCTGCATGATGGTTTAAGAGTCACTGAGTAGATTCACAGATACCAAGCACCTAGGGGGCAGCAGGTATGGTCTGTTCTAGGTCCTTGGAGTACATCAGTGAGCAAGACAAAGATTCCTGCCCTCATGTTTAGTTCATATTCCAGCAGGGGTGGACCATAGATGTAAGTAAACAAGTGAATTACATTGTGCATTACAAGGTGCTATGGCTCTGGAAAGGAAACAAAGTAGAGTGATCTTGAATAAAGTGGCACTAAGAAGGTAAGACCATAGGGAGTTGCCATGCAGCTCTATGAGGGAACAGCATTCAGGCAGAGGGAACAGCTGGTACAAAGGCCTTGGGGCAGAATGGTATCTGCCATGTTCAAGGAACAGGGAAACAGCCAGCGTGGCTGAAGCAGAGAGAGCGAGAGAAACGGAGTCAGAGAGGGAAGGGGGCCCATGTCACATCAGGCCTTGTTGACCATTGTGAGGACTTTGGCTTTTAATCTGAGAGAAGGGGGAGCCCAAAAATAAGGTTTGGAACAGAACGATGACTTAATGTAATTTACATTTGAAAAAAGAGCATTCCGGTTGCCATGTGGAGAATGACTATGGAGGGACAGGGCAGAGCAGGGAAACCAGTAGAATTTACATTTATGATGTGAGTTCTGTAGACAGTGGGCTCCGTTTATCTAAGATTATATTTGAGGCGTGCCTGGGTGGCTCAGTTGGTTCAACATCTGACTCTTGATTTCTTGATTTCCACGATCTCAAGGTAGTGAGCTGGAGTCCCACGTTGGGCTTCATGTTGGGCAAGGAGCCTGCTTAATATTCCCTCTCCCTCTTTCCCTCCTCCCGCTTCCTTCCCCACCCCATCCCCTGCTGCACTTGTGTTCTCTGTCTCTCAAAAAAAAAAAAAAGAAGAAGAAGAAGAAGATTATATTTGAGCAGAGATGTCAAACCCTTGATTTATTTTTACTAGCCTCTCTGGGGAGACTGAGGATCATCCTCCCAGTGAACAGATCAGATCTCAAAAGGTTAAAAAAAAAAAAAAAAAGTCTAGAAGCACAATCTAAGGGACTGGGTGCAAGGGGAGAATTCTGGAACATGAAATTTTAAAATGGCCCAGCATCATTGGAGACTTCTGTCAGGATGACTGCTCACATGGCCATGCAGTAAGATTTCCATCTTACAAGAAATGTCTCTTTTCCAAAATGGGCCCTTCTGCCTACTCTAATATTCTTGAGAATCGTGAACACTGGGCAGGGCTTTTTGTACCATATTCACAAATGAAGCTTCAGGGAACACATGGGAAAACGTGACATCGAACTAAATTTTCACAAAAGTGGAATGATTTTTGTCAGGGCTGCTCTGTAGAGCATTTTGGGTTTTTTCATCCTTGGCTACTCTTCTCATTAGCATAGTCCTGGGGAGTATTTCCATCCATCTCCACAGCTTCGAAGGCAGACAGAACTCTCAGCCCCATGACTTACTTGCTGTGCAGTCTTGGGCGAGTTTCCTAACCTCTCTGAGCTTTAGTTTCCACTGCTACATGAAGGGAGACAGTAATAGATTTTGGCCACAAAATGCAGTTTGGTGTAGGGGACAGGTAGTGGCTTCAGATCCGACCTGGGTGGGCCCGGAACAAGTTTCTTAATCTGTTTGGATCTTGGCTTCCTCGTGGGAGATGGGAGCATTGAGCTTCTTGATGCAGCCGTGGAGCTGGCACATGAAGCCTGCAAGCAGAGGGCCTGGGAGGCCCGGGCCACCACCTTCCCAGTTAAGAGCTAAGGAGGTGGGACTAGCCCAAAGCCACACCACCGCCCAAGGCCGCACTAGCGTGCACTGTCCAGGAGGGGGCGCCGCTCAGTCAGGAACAGGCAGCCGTAGGGGGACAGCTGGTTCACTCACTCCCAGAGCATCCTCTGAGGCCCTCCTCACACCCAACAGCAGACAGGCAGAGGAGGAACCTCAGGCTTATGAGGAGGTGAGCCCTGCAGCAGACAGGAAGCAGGGCAGGTACTGGAACCCATTTAAGAAAAGCCAGGGTGCCCCTTGGAAACTTCCAGCAGGCACAGATTTCCACTGAAAAGAGGGACGGCTGAGAGGGCAGGAAGTTTCTAGTGATGGGTGTGCTTCCTGCCCGTGCCAGTTAACATAGAGGGCAGCCTGGATCTGGAGAGAGGAGAGGGCCAGCTGGGCAACTGGAAGCTTCGGGAGGGCTCTTGAAAGCTAAGGCCTCTGTAGCCACGTCCCATGCATGGGGGCACAGAGCACCTCAGGCCAGCCTTCACCTCCAGCCGCCTTTGGGGACATGCCAGCCCCACGCAGGCAAGGATGGCCAACCTCATGTTTGATTTCTGTGTCCCCAGTGCCGGCCACCATGCCCAGCACCTGGTCAGCACTCTCCATGGTTGGGAGCTACACATCCAGGCTTCTCCCATAATCAAACACATCGGGCAATGGTCCCCCCCACCTCTGAGCCGCAGGTGAACTTCCCGGCGGGCTCAGGCACATTGCCCGTTTGATCAGGGCCCTCTCCGCATTTGGATTTTAGGATAAAACTACCTCTCACGGTGGACGAGATCGCCAACTTCGGGGAGAGCAACAGGGAGCTGTTCGTGCGGTCCAGTACCTACAGCGTCATCCCCATCACCGTGGCCGAGGCAGGCCTCACCATCAGCTGGGTCTTCTCCTCCGACCCCAAGAGCATCTCCTTCAGCGTGGTCTTCCAGGAGGCAGAGGACACACCGCTGGATCAGTGTAAGGTGAGCCGGCTCCCTGCAGGGGGCTTGGGCTGACCTTTCCCAGTGCAGGGCCGCAGCCAATCCTGCCTTCTGCTGGGCAGGCCTCACCTGGACTGTTTGGGCCACAGCCATGAGAAGGACACGTGGAGAAAGCAGGGGGACAAGCCCTCTGGGCTGCATCCCACAGGGTAGGCAAAGCACCTGACCTTAGCCAGCTTGAGGAGGGAAAGGTCTAGAGGCTGACAGTGCTGTCCTCAGGTCTCTGAAGGTTGCTCCTGTGTCAGACAGCTTCTGTCTGACTTAGGGACGGGTCACCAGAGGATATAGACATGCGACCGAGTCTCAGGGTCATTTTGTTCACAGAGCCATGCAGAGCAAGAATGAGTCACCGTGAAGGATGTCATGAACTTGGCGTGTTTGGCCTCTCATCTCAGAGACATTTAGCCATTGTGCACTGGGGCGGTGGGGCTCAAAGTCATGGTGACAGATCCCAGTCCATAAAGTCCTAAGACAGTCTAAGCATGGGATTCTGACGATGGCCTGCACTGCAGGTCCCAGTCTTGGCTACATGTTAGAAACACCCACTCCCAAGGCCACAGCCACACCACTCCACACCACACCACAGCCTATGGCTGGGACACAGGCTCCCCCTAGGTGAGTCTGGTGAGCAGCCAAGGTTGAGAGCCATGGGCCTAGCTCGAGGGATTGGGAACCAGAGCAGAAAGGATGGGGTGGGATCCAGAGCCCAGAACAGAAGGTTGAGCAGGACTTGGCAAATGGCTGATTCAGTACAAGGGGAGGCAGAGCTCGTTTGGGTGGAAACTCGAGTCCCATTTGAATCAGCGTTGGTGGGAGGACCGGTGAGGCCAGCCAGGAGCTTAGGGTGGACATCAGGCTGCTGTACCGTGTAGAAATGTCCATGTTCCAGCAATGGCAAGAAGCAAGGTGGTGGAGAACGACTTGAAGTCATGTGGAAGGAGACTCCTGTGCAGTGTGCGTGAGAATATCCTTGATTCCCTCTAGTGTGTGGGCCGCCAGCTGCGGGGGGCTCGGGCGGGGGCTTTTGCCATGCCACCTGCCCACATGTGGCTGAGCCCTGGGCCTCTCCCCTTGCTCAGTCACTCATGGCCCTGGGAGATCCGTGTGGTTCCTACCAGGATTTGGGCCTTGGAGACCTGGAGGAGGAGCCTTCCTCTCCAGCCTTCAGATGGCCTCTGGGAGTCAGGACTGCCAGTGTGTTTCTCAGAGTGGCAGCCAGGGGGCAGAAGGCGCCCATAGACAGGGCAAGCAAGCCCGGTGGTCAGGTGCCGTCTGCCTTCAGCCAGCCATGCCGTGGCTGTTTCTAGTGCCTGAAGAGCCCTGGATAGACATCAGCCTAGGAACCTGTTCCCAGAGCCACATCCTCAGCCTCTGTCTGGGGGACTCCCCCAGGATCCCCTGACCAGCCTGGGTCTTACAGGCTTACGTGCAGAGAAAGTGACAGCGCTCAAGGGTGTGATTGTGGAGGTGTAGACACAGGGGGCTTGCCTTCTGCTCAGAGTCACCTGCCAAGTTCTGCTTAACCCTGGGCTCTGTTGGCACCTGTCAGAGCTAGGAAGAGAAGGGACAACGTGGCTCTGCCCTTGAAGAGAGAGCCCTCCCCTCACCCCCAGTGAACAGACGACCACGGTTCCCTTTAGTGTCGTGCTGAGGGTGGGCAGGCACCCCGGGGGGCAGCCATCAGGGGAGGAAGCCTTGGGCCAAACGAGGACGCATAGAGGGAGCTTCACGGACAAGGTCAGCCCTGTCCCCAACAGCACCCAGCAGACACTGCCCAGCCCCCCAGAGCCACCTCCTCTCCAGAATGCTTCCTCGGTCAAGGTCGTACCTCGGCACTGAGATTAGAAGGCGGGAATTTGGGAAAACCCTTGACTGAAGAGATGGTCCATCCGGGACTTGAGGCTACGCGTGTGCCAACCCTGTCCTGAAGCCTGGGGACCGAGTGGGGAACAGGACCCAGGCCCTGCCCTCTCTCTGGGCAGAGGATCCATGTTTGGCCAGAGAAACTCAACAGCCCACCTGGGGCCACAGAGAGTCAGAGGAACAACCAGGACCGGGAGCAAGAACCTTAACTTTGTGGGTTTTTTAGCTTTATTGAGATATAATTTATATACCAAATAATTGACCCATTTAAGCCATACAGTGTATTCACAGCATTGTGTAACTGTCGCCACTCAAATTTTAGATCATTTTCATCATCCCCCACAAAGAAACTATCCCCACGAGCAGTCACTCTGCAACCCCCACCCCCAGCAACCACCCCTCTCTTTGTCTGTGTAGTCTTTTGTGACTCACTTCTTCAATCCAGCATAGAAACCTCGCTTTGCACCAGAGCCCCAGCCCACGGGAGCCCATCCAAGTATCCATAAAAGCAGCTTGGGCTGTCTTGCGGACATGTGGCATGAATGAGGACTCAGCTGTGGAGGCCCGGGAGGCTGGTGGGAGGTACTCCCAGAGCTCACCCAGTGGGGGCCTGCCTCAGGTTTATTCCAGAACCCCCCATCTTCTCCCCACCACCTCAGCTTTGGCACCAGAGATGACCTCATAGATTTTGACCATGGTGAGAATACCAGAACTGAGATGAATGAAAAGTCCATGATCTAGAATGTTCTAAAGAAATGAAGCACATTATCTTAGACATACCCTCTTCAGGCAACTTGCCTAACGAGCTCTCGGTTGTTGCTTTACAGTCAAGGTAGTAAATGCCGAGGTTGAGGGCTGAGGTGCCCAGACACCCCTGTGTAAACCGCAAGCCTTCCTGTCCAGCAGCTCCTCCCCGCCTGTGCTTGCTGAAGTGCCCAGGCTCAGCATTGTTAGGTTACAGACCCTGGAAGCAGACCCAATCTTGCAACCTCCCAGAATTCTCAGCCCCAGGTGGAATTAGAATACAATAGAACATCAATGGAATGTAATAAGACCAAGCATAGAAGTGGCTAGCCCCAGATCCCACCCAGGGTGCATCCTCAGGTATCTTTTTCCCCTCCAGGCTTGTCTCTGGCCCTTCCTACTCCCTCACCACCACCAGCTCCCAGCCAGTGCAAATGTCCTGTGGTATCAGGAACACACTGCTTATGCTCTCTCCTGTGCCTGTGGGATCTCCCTTCTGATGTGTGCTCTCTCTTTGACCCATGTGTTAAGAGTGTGTTCTTTAGTTTACACATATTTTTGGTCCAGAGATGTGTTTATTTCTAATTTAACTCCATTGTCTTCAGAAAACAGGCCATATAACTTGAATCCTTTCAACTATGAGGTGGGTTTGTGGTTTTTTTTTTTTTTTGGTTGGTTGGTTTTTTGTTTTTTGTTTTTTGTTTTTTGTTTTTTTTGATGGCCTAGAAGATGGCCTACTGGATTGTTCCCAGTGCACTCGAAAAGCAGGTGTGTCCTGCCACAGTCAGGTGGCATGTTCCATAAATGTCACTTGGGCTGAGTTAGTTGTTCTTCGAAGCTTCCATCTTCTTACTGAGTTCCTGTCTGTCATTCCATCAATTATTGAGGGGCATTGAAATAGACAACTGGTAATTGTAAATTTATCTATTTCTCCTTGGAATCCTACCACTTTCGGCTTCATGTTTTTGAAGCTTTCATTAGGGGCATCAGTGTGAAGGGTTGGTCCATCTTCCTGATGCATGAACACCTTTGTCATGAAGTTATCCCTGGCCACATCCCTTGATATAAAATCTATTTTGTCTGATAGTAGTCAATCCAGCTTTCTTTGGATTAGTGCTACCACAGTGTATCTTTTTAACATGCTTTTACTTTTAACCTATTTGTGTCTTTATATTTAAATTGTCTCTGCTTATGGGCATGATGAGGGTTGGGTCAGCCTGATCACCTTTGCCTTTTATTTGGGATTATAGACTGTTTATACTTAATGTGCTTATTGATTGGTTAGGGTTGAGTCTGTCATCTTACTGTTTGTTTTCTGTTTGTCCCCTCTGGTGGTTGCTCCCTTCTCATTTGAAAGTGGTGAGCTGAGGCAGGTGTGGAGCCCACCTGTTCCCTCAGAGATCACTGTCCTCTGTTGCCTGATGTCCAGTGTCTTGTACATTCTGTCTCTTTTTGGTTATCTCTTGGGAGAGTAAATCTTAGGTCTTCTCCCATGTCTCTGAAGATGTTTTTCCCTTTACCTGGGACAGCCAGGCCTTTCTTGAATTACCTACCTCATCCAAGCTGAGCATCCCCTCCTCCAGGATACCTGCCCTGACCCTGCGCCTCTCTCCCCTCCGCCCCCAGGGCTGGGATGGGCACCCCTCCCAGTTCTCCCCTCACGACACGCTCACTGTTATAACTGAACAGTTTTTTCATCTGCTGTCTCTGTTAAACCACAAGATCTTTGAGGGCAGAACCTTTTGTGGAAACTTAACTTCACGTTAGGAACCCTGTGGCCAACATGTAGGGTTTCCAGAAATGTGCCTCTGTATTCAAGCATAAATTGAAAAAGCCATCACATCGTTAGAAGCATTTTGGATTCAGTCATTTTGTTCAGGGTAAAAAAATGTTTAAAGGGAATAGATAATGGAATTTCAGAAAGCTGTGTTTCTGAGAAGGGGGCAGCACTTAATTTTGTAAAGAATAAAAATGCTCACTTTGGGGGCAGCCCACCACACTAGGAGCTCCCAAGTTGCTCAGTGTTAGCCATGGTCTGCAAAGCCTCTGTCTGTGTGACATTTCACGTGTAGTCTGCCTACGTGGGCGGCTGAAGGATGCTTTCTGAGACCAGACCCATTGGGGTATTGATCCCTTCTAAAATCTTTCTGAGTTTCAGTTGGCTCTGTCTTATTTCCCATTTCCTCATTTCCTATCAGCCAGGCACCCGACCATATCTTTAGTTTTATACAGTGTCTTAGCTGGTCAGCAGGTAGCAGATGTTACCCTCGTGAGAAAGACTGGCCATCCAGAGGACCAACCCCACACACACGCACACACACCCGGCCCCGTCCAGCGCTCACCCTGCGCTCGGCTTTGCCCCCCGACAGTGAGGCCCTTAGAACATGTCCTGAGAAAACAGCTATTTCCTGGAACTAATCTCTCATTCTTGGGGAAGGCAGAGGGTAAATAGGAAGCTGAGGCTGATGCCTGGAAAGATGAGAGGGCCGTGGGGCCCATGGACCTGCAGGGGGGTGGCAGGAGAGGCAGCCTGCTGGGGCCAAGTGAGAAGCCACAGGTGGGGCCAGGTCTGTTTAGGCCAGAGCGGGCAGGGCTCAGGGGCTTCACAAAACGCTTGTGAAGAGACGGGAGTGGGCAGGGGTTCTACTGTCCTGTGAAACACCCCTTACCCTGGGCAACACAAGGCCCAGCAGGAGCCAGACAGATAGATTTCACCTCAAATACACCCTGGCTTCCTGAAGCCAAAAAAAGGCCTGCTCCTCCAGGTGGTGGAACATTCTGGCGTGGGCTGTGGTCAGAGGAGGCTGGGGACCACTCCTCTTGGGGCGCTGACGAGTTCATGATTCTGAATGAAATTCATGCCCACAGCCTCCTCTCCTACCCCAGGTCATCAGCAAATGCAGGGAATGTAGAAGATTCCACCCCCCCAGTCTTGGGGCTGATCCGAGGTACCACTCCTTCTCCTGGGCTGATCCCAGACATACCCCCCCACTCCTGGGGCTGATCCCAGATGTACCTCCTATTCCTAGGACTGATCCCAGGCATACCCCCAACCCCAGTCCTGGGACTGATCCCAGCCCCAACCTTGCTCAGCTGCAACGTCAGACAGGAGCTCTACCCTCACTGGGCCTAGTTCCATCCCCAAAATAAAGGATCTGCCCAGAGGACCCATAGGCCTTCTCAGCTTCTGTGACACTTGTTCTGATGTGCTCTCCCTCCCAGGTCCTTATCCCCACGACCCGGTGCAGCTCCCACAAGGAGAACATTCAGGGCCAGCTCAAGGTCCGCACGCCGGGCATCTACATGCTCATCTTCGACAACACCTTTTCCAGGTAGGGCCGCCTCACCCGTCAGTATCCGGAAGAGTTCACCTGCCACCTGGCTGCGAGAACAGGGGTGGACGTTTGAAAGAGACTAATTATCAGTAATTTATTGTTAATAGTTTCTCTTTTTTTAGAGCCCTATACTGTGGTGGTCTAGTGTCTGCTACAGATTTATTGAGACACAGGCTAGTACTTATAGAATCTTAGCACATGTCACGTGAGTCCCTGACCCTCCACTCTTACTGACTCACTTAAGCCCCACGGCACATCCATGTGATAGGAACTACTGTTCCCTTCATGATGCCTCCAAGGGACTGAGGGTCAGGGGCTAACACCTCCCAGGTTACACAGCTGGTGGTGGTAGAGCCAGGTTGGAACCCAGAGGGCCTGCCTCCAGGCTCTGGATTTAACAAGTATGCCCTCCTGCCTCTCTCGGTTGTCCAGGCTCCCACTACCCAGCCCAAAGGAGGGGCTCAGTAGAAACAGTGGAAGGAAAGAAGGAAGGGAAGGCTAGGATAGGGTAGGGTAGGGAAGGGAAGGGGAGGGGAGGGGAAGGAAGGAAGGAAGGGTAGGTGAGTGGATGGGTGCGTGGGTGGGTGGATAGATGGATGGATGGGTGGATGGGTGAGTGGGTGGGGAGACAAGCAAGAAATGAAGGCCAGGACTAGAGCTGTGTGGGGGAGGCCCTAGGCCCTCTTGTCATGGCAGTGGGAGCATGGTATACTGTCTTGGGGAAGCGCTGCATCGAAGCCCCAGATCCAGGCCCAGGAGTGAAGGCCTGGGGGGCAGGAAGTTGGGAATGAAGACGGACAGGCCGGAGGGGAAGCCGAGGAAGGAAGCTGGGGAGAGGAACCCATTGGTTGAGATCTGCTGGGAGCCTGGGCCCCCACTTCACGGAGACATGAGACGGGGCGGTTAAGGTTGCGGGGACCCGTCCCTTGGGTGAAGACCCACCCAAGTCTTCTGGCTTCAGCATAAGCCCTTTGTCGGGGCCACCTTTTTTAGGAGCCCTGTCTGACCAGCACCCAGCCACATCCTCCCTGTGTGGGGCCCTGAGCTAGCACCTACATCCCCCCACACGGGGCACTTGGCTTTAGGCAGAGTAACTGGCTGGGGTACTCTAGGGGAAAGCTGTGCCACCCTCCTCAGCACCTCCCGGCCTTGAACACCTAGGGATTGTGGCCAAGGCCATCTGCCAAAGGAGGGGCTGAGAGAAGGAGCTTCCCACTTTCCCCCCTCCCGCTCCTCCCCTGCACATCCCCATGAGCACAAACATACCTTGAATTTGCTAGACTCATGGGGCACAGGCCCCAGGGTATCCAGAGAGCTGCCCTCAGAGCTCCAAAGGCCCCAGAGCCCTGTCTCTGCAAAGGCAGTGAGCACTGTCACCACATCACCGAGATTCCCAGTGGGCTGTCGGAGAGGCCGAGGGGAGGCGCATTCAGGGCAGAACACAGTCCCATGCCCCAGGCAGGCCCCTAGTTCCCACCAGAGGCAGCCATGGTGCTGTGACCCACCCCGGCCTTACTCTGTGCTGGAGATTTCTAAACCATGGATGGCAAGATGGATTTTGGTGCCCGGCGGGGCTGAGATCCATACTCGCCTCCTCCAGAAACCTCATCGCAGAGTCCACTCCCTGCGCCGCTCCCCCACAGCCCCCAGGTCCCCCCACAGCTTCAGAGTAGGTGTTCCTGTGTTTGTGTACCAAACCCCAGGGAAGGCTCCCCAGACCCATGCCTGGGGAGAGCTCTGCTGGACAGACAGGAGACGGGACGAGGGGCCCAGGCCTCTGCTCCCCCAAAAGGCTCCCCGACCAGCCCACAGGCACACAGCCCCCACACACGCCCAGCCAGGCCCCAGCAGCCACCGCTGTCCCCCGGCTTTCAGCACTCCCACTGACACCCTCCTTTTCCACTTCTGTTTCCTCAGGTTTGTCTCCAAGAAAGTGTTTTATCACTTGACAGTTGACAGACCTGTGATCTACGATGGAAGTGACTTCCTGTAGCCTCAAGCACCTGGATTCTAGATTCTGATAGTTTCACTTTATCCACAGGAAACACTACTCTTGCTCACCTGTCACATAAAGCACTAAAAAAAAAAAAAAAAAAGCAACGGCTCCTTATGTGACCAATGTGTGACTCTGGGAGACAGGCCTCCGGCCATCTGGAGCGCATGTACTCGGCACTGTGCACCGGCACTCTTAGCCCCCATGGCTTTTAAGGGCTCAAGCAACGTTTCCCAACTGTCCTCACACCCAAAGGGACACTCTGCCAAAGGTTTAAACACTCAGGAACCTTCAGCCTCTCCCGAAGCCATGCTGGTTCCCGGCCTCCCATGGAGAATTGCACAGGCTGGCGCCAGTGATCCCAGCTTCTGCCCGTGGAGAGAAATGCCACACACTCTGCCCAGCGGGGGCCCAGGGACCCTGGGTGACCACGAGCCGGGATGTCCTGGCCAGACCCCTGGGAGTCCTCAGGCTGCGAGGCCCTCTTCCCGGGCAGAGGAGGCCACAGGAGAGTCAGGGCGCCTGAGGCGGGGGGAGGGGCTCTCCCAAAGCCCCCACCAGCCTCTTCCGTCAGGCCTCTGTCCCCTCCTGCCACGCTAAATTTAGGGTTACTCCAAAGCACAGCAACTCCGGAGGGGCCTCTAGGTGCACTTTCTTCCAGGCCCTTCGGTCTGGGACGTCCTGTCCTCACACAAAGCCCTTCCCTCAGGCCCCTCAGTAGTTGAAAACATCGGCCTAGAAATCAGAACCGAAGATGCTTGGGGAAACCAAAGCCACCACACGGAGGACATGTCCTGCAGCGGCTGTCTGCGCGGACGGCAACACCCTGACCACAAGGCAGCCCTGAGTGTGGCCCTTAGGACTCACTACTGAGCTCCTGGGCTGTCTCTGTTTGTCAAATGAGAGCTGCTGCCTCGTCCGCGGACATGTTTACTAATGATCATAATCAGGGTAAGAACCACTTCCAGACATCGGGCCTTCTCAGCAGAAGTCTTCGGTAACTCGAGTACAACGGGCATAATTCATGGATCTGCTTGGAGTTCACTTCTTGGTCCCCACTCCCCACCCGTCTTCCCCAGCACCCCGTTTGCCCACTTCCTGTTGTCTGGGGCCCTTCTCTCCTCCCACCGTAGGGAGCTCACCCTCCATGGCCTCTTGGGGCCGGAGCCTGAAGTCAGGGCTCAGACACTTCACAGGTGAGCAGGCCATCTGATGACAGGGCCCACTTCAGCCAGGGATGAGGGAGTGCGCCAGGCAGGGTGTCTGGGGATCTGAGCACTGGACCCAGCCCATCCCCCAGCTGGTCTCTGGTGACCAGTCAAGTCACGCCACCTGGAAGCTTCATTCTGTCCCCCACAGTCCTGGTTGGGCTGATGTTGAGAGCTCCAATACAGGTCAGGGCCCCCAGGCCGGGTCCAGCGCAAATGCCGCAGCCACCACCCAGCAGAGGCGACTCGTGGGGCAGGGGTGGGGGGAAGTAACCTCCATGATGGGCTCAGAGCTTTCCCTCAGATAGGGGGCTTGGCCACTTGCAGTCAGCTTAAGTAGAGCGGAGGAGGGGGTCGTGAACAGAACCTTCCAGAGAGATCAACGCTGAGAGAAGCTGAACCTCTCACACTCTTTCCTTAGCGCAACCAGCCACCTCTGGCAGAAAACCACCAGGGTCCTTGCATCTCCCAGTGGCCAAGGCCTTGACTGTACTCAGCACCAAGGCAGTAAGCAGCCAGGCTCCCAGAGACTCCCTGGCCTCATGCTTATCCTCACAGGTGTGCCACATGGCCTGAGGATTGTTCCAGAGGAAGTTATCCCGCCTTGGAGCCCACCCTCTCCCTAGGAAGGGTAATCGGGATGCGTGGTTTACCACAAGAAGGAAACTAGCAGAAGAGAACCCAAAGCAGTCTGGGGTCTTGTTTTGAATGCTTTCCCAGGATGCCATGGAGACCGGCCAGCTGATGGTATTACCACCATCCTGTGCAGCTAACTGCTCCTGAGTTTCCTGCGAAAGGCCTGGAACATTCCATCCAAGCCCCCCAGTGAACCTCTGTCACTCAGCCCGGCAGGGGACCAACTACAGCTTAAAAACCACTTGGCTCTTGCAAAGCCGGCCCAGAGCCACTCCTCCCGAAGAGCAGGGGCCCCTCGTGGTGTGTACCCCCTGGAACGTTGACTACAGTCATTCAGTGGACTGCCCGCTCCCCCGGCAGTCACGTTCTGACTCCGCAGCCTATTTATTTTCGTGCTGGACAGACTCTTTTTCCCTCGGTACTTTGCCATGCAAGCTCAGGTTTGCTATGCATTATGCAACGTGGCCTATTTCAGCGTGATTCGTACGAATAGCTTTATTTTTATCTTAAACAGTTTCCTGGCTTCACTGAGGTTTTTAGGGGTTGGGATACTTAGGTAAAAAAATGCAGATGACAATGAAGATCAACTATTAACTATTAGTTAACTATTAACTATTAGTCAACTATTAACTATTAGCTCCGGCCAGTAGACGGAATTATACTAGAAATCATCAATGGGACCCCAGATCACTATACAACACAAAACAAAACAAAGCAAAACTCCGGCAGCCCCCGATGGCCCAGCTCTCTGAATGACAGCTGCTCCCTTTATAGCACTGACCCTCCTGCCTTGTTCACCTCTGCCTCAGATGTCACTAACCAACCTTGCCTGAGAACGTGGCCGGAGCCCACTGTACTCCAGGTCAACTAGACCAAGAAGGAATCTAGAACTGAAAAAACCCTCCAGGGTTTGAAAAGTAGGAAAGGAAAAGCCACATAATGTAACGAAAAAATTAAGGGGATTGTTTTTCTGAAATTCTTCAGTTCTCCACTCTCTGGGTGGGTAAGCCATTCTAGACTCAAATGGAAAGAAATCCCGATGGGGGCAGGGGTGACATCTCAGAGTCTGCTTTACGGGATACTGGTTAGATAGATGTCTGCTGATTTATAAGTTTTTTGGGGAGTTTCATTTTTTAAAGTCCACCGTCGTAACTACACGTGAGATCCCTATCCCTGGTTCCGGGGTTGAAAGGAAAGCAGAGAGAAGCATCCGTGATTCCGAGAACCAGGGGTCACCTTGCTGAGACCAGTGAGCCAGTCAGTCATGTTTACAAAACACTTAGCAGAAGACGTTTCTTAGTGGAAACCTGGAGTTTTTTTTTTTCATTGCATTGTGATTCTTCCTAGGAGACGGGAAAGACTGGATTAATCATGCCTTTTCCCTCCTAATCACTTTTTTAAAATAATAGTCTAGCTTTCAGGAGACATGGCCAATGAACAGGCTTCGTTAGAACCTCATGGTGAATGTTCTCCAGAGATGCTCCTGCCTCTGGGGGGCGCCGCTGAGCAACATCCGCGCCTCCCTTGGGCGGCTTCCGAATCAGAATCGCACTTTAATTGACAAATCCTCAGTTCTCAAGGCCTTAGGGGATAGTGGGTCTGGGGACCTGTTGCATTCTTACCTGCCAAAGAATACCCAAAAGCACATCAAATGCCAACACCCACCTGCGCAGTGGGGGTGAGAAACTTTTGTATCCCAAGACATATTCCTTTATAAAAGCATCTGCTGCACCGTTTGGAACAGTTTTATTTTTAACCTCAGGATTTAAATAAAGCAAACACTCTGACATTGGGAGTAGCCTTGTCTTTCATTCCACTGGGACATAAGGCCCATTGATCGAGTCACCCAGGCCTGGGGTGCCTGGGGGGCTCAGTCGTTAAGTGTCTGCCTTCAGCTCAGGTCATGATCCTGGGGTCCTAGGATCGAGTCCTGCATCACTGAGCAGGGAACCTGCTTCTCCCTCTGCCTCTGCCTGCCCCACCCCCTGCTCATTCTCTTCCTCTCTCTCTCTCCCTCCCCACTCCCCACCCTCTATCAAATAAATAGAATCTCTTTGTTAAAAAAAAACTTTTTTTACCTAGGCCAGACTCGGAGTTCAGTTGCCCTGCCGAACAGAGCATCGGCTTGTATTCTGGCTTCTTGGAAGGGCTCAAGTCAGCAGATACTCAGAGGTTACCATGTGGCCCGGGATCTGGACCCTTCCCTGTCTACCCCGAGGTCAGTGTTCAGACCCACTGGAACCAAGGTATTATCATCATTCCAACCTACCGCCCTCCGCCACCTGAGCTGCCTGGTTGTCCTGGGCTGCTCACAGAGCGCCGTGAGCAAAGAGCACACTGCTGACTTCCCAGAAGAGTGAGGTCAGGGGGAAGGTCATGGACTTCCTCAAACCACCATCAGTTGATCTGTGGTACAAGGCTCAGCAAGACCACCGGGCCAAGGCAACCAGCAGAGAAAGGAGTCACATTCCCACTGCAACTTAGTTCCTCGGGCTGGGTCAGCAGAGACCAGACCCAGACCCAGAGGGGCATGACGCAGTCACTCCTGGACCAGTCAGCCTGAGCTCGGCCCAGACGGTCCTTCCACACTCACCCTACACCCTGCATCCAGGGATGACAGGGACTCCCTCCCTCGAGTGCCTCGAGCCCCACAGAACACCCCCAGCCCCCTTTCCCTCCATCTCCCTTCCTCCTCCCTCCATCTCCCTGTGCCCAGATTCTCGTGTGGCCTCTTCTTAAATCAGTTAGGCAGGAAGAAGGCAAGGACCGTGTTTCCTTCTTCATCTCCCTCTCTCTTCCCTCTCCCCCACCGCATGGAGCACCACACCAGACACAGACGTGCTCAACAGTGCTCAGTGAGGATACTGGTCGGTCCCCATGCTGGGTCAGCTATAAGGCTGTGAATAGTCCCATTGGCCAACTTGGCCAGGCACAGAAGTTCCCAAAACTCACATGGCAGAGAAGGGCAAAGGGCAAGCCTGCAGGGGGAGGTGCGGGGAGGATGGAGGGGAGAGGTCTCTCGATCCTGCCCCTCCCCCCACCCCGTACCCCCCTCATGTACTAATGATGCCCTCAAGTTGAGCCTCTTCCTGTCTAGTAAGCCAGTTGAAGTAATGGAAGATTGTATTATCCAGGCCCGGAACAAAGCAACGGGAGCTCCTTAGTAGCAGAACGGTCCTGCCAGACTGGTGGCCACACGGGCTAGAGGCTGGAACAGGAACCAACAGAGACCCGCATGGCTGAGTGTGCTGCACTGGGG